GATACTTGATGTACTTAAAATGAAATAATGTACGTGTATGGATACATCTTGCAACACAAATACAATAGGGAGGTGATTACAAAGGATGGTAACGACGCGTGGTGAAAGCTCACATACACTCACAAACACAACAGCTGCCGTCTCAGCTGACCCTGACCACCTTTCGCAATTGCAAAGCGTAGCAGTAGTTGTAAGTCCCTACTGGCATTAAACAGAAACGGATCGGATATTCATTCGTGCATGGAAAAATCATGATAACCGTCAGTTACAATTAAATACCGAGAACAATTAGTTGATTCGAGATAATACTAGGATATAAGTTCCTTGGTTATTATCTTATTTATGCAGGTGGTTTTAGAATCTGAATTATGAACGTGGATAATGTAATTATGAAAATATGAATGAATCAATTATAATGTTAGTAATCACAGTAATGATAATAAGCAAATGACAATAAGGAAAGATTTTAACATAATGTGCAACTACAGTAACAGAATTTTTAATATAAATCTTGTGTTATTTTTAAATTGTATTATTACAATTACGTCATGTTATATTTACATTAATTATTTTATTTGTAAAACTTATTTGGAAAAGAAATATAAATAATCATAATATTTTAGTATTGATATTATACTCATTAAAATTATCTTAACAACTTCATTTATTACAATTATCTTGTTTGTTACAATTAACTGAATGCTGTGTTTCATAATTGTTAAAAATGATAAAAAAAAGACACGTTCTTACGGTTTACATATTTGTATAAAATATCTTTATAAGATGTAAATACGATAGAATATTAATTGAATTAAATATTTATGTTTGATGAAGAATATTTAGTATATTTAAGATTAATTATCAAAATGTAAAATTTATTTTCAAATATTTTTAGAAAATACTTACATTAAAAAATTGTTAAATATTTAATTTAAAAAAATGTAATGATTATATACCAACAATAGTCATATATGCAAATATGTAATTATGTTTACTTATGTACTAAAAATATGTAGTCACACTGTTCAAATAATGCTCGTATAATTAGCACATAAACATGTTTCGAATTAGACATTTATCTCTCTACAGAGCGTATTTGATTTTATTTACTATATGCTTAAAATAGAAATACAGTAAAGAAGTTTTGATTTATAAATTTCTTTACCATACATTAATTTTTAAGTTTATAAATATTGAGTGATTGAAGAAAATTTTCCTTCTTGAATAAACAAGATAAAGTACAATTTTTTATTATTCATGATCAGTTCAATGAGTGATATTTGTGCAAATAAAATTTTGGATTTAAAAGCAAAAATAGTCTATTTGTCATTAGTAGTATGGCTTAAAGGTATTGTCATTAATACACTATATACTTAATATTATTTTTTTCATTTTGATTAAATTAATATACAATTTATTTAAAAATATTAATTTTTTCAAATTTATTTACATTATTTACATTTTGATAAAGTAAATATATAAAAGTATTATTACTTTGTTTTATTTCAGCACATTAAGTAAGAAGTAAGCATTAAACGTATATGTGGATTATATTAAGAAAAGGATTCTTTTCTTCTAGCCTTTTCTCACCTATATAATACAGCTGCTTTAAATAGTTTAAATACTTATCAAATCATCATAAACAATTATAAATTTATTAATAAGCTACTCATGCTTCAATTGGATAGATAGACAATAAGATTCATATTTTAATAATTAACAGTGCGATAAGCATAACGATAGTCAACGACTCAAATTTATGTATATGCTACATACAAATAATATTAAATTTGATAAATATTAATATTAAAATTATTGATAACGAATGATTTGTTAGGTTTCTATATATTCTTATATAAGTATTTTACAGTTTATTCATCATTTTTGCATAGCAGTCTGGTACAGTATAAATACAGTTCAAATCTTTAAATAATTATAGTAAAAACTTAATTAAGTATAGAAAAATACAAAGTAGGCGAGCATTGGCTTGATAAACATTAATGAAAACAAAAACAAAAAATTTGAATAAAATAAAATACCTTGATTAACTGTTACTGTTTTCATTAGTATAATATTGAATTTCAATATAAGCTGGATGTATTTATAAATATCTCTTTAGATATTTATTTATATTGTTTTTATATCAATTTATTTATATTATTATTTATATTATTTATATAAATTTGTATTGTTCAATCATTACCGAATGAACGAATAAAATATTTCATGATTTTAATTTTATATTACTTAAGTTAGAATTAATAGAATATATAATGAATTATTTTTACATATTTTCAAAAATTATTTTTCAATTATATTAACTATTAACAAATGAAATTTACATAACAATTATCAAATAATATAAATATTAACATTTTTATGTTTATATCATTTTCATATTGATATTTTATTTGATTATATTTTATATTTGATATAAAACATTGAAAGCGTCATCTTAAAAATTTATGAAACAAGCAATATTGTTGCTTAATTTTTCAAATCTATTACGAGCGTTTTGTATACTTTCATTTTCTTTTGATTGATTGATTGACTGCATAACAAGAGGAAGTCGAGTTCTTCGTAACTTAAAAATAACTGCATTAATGTAAATAATGGAATATTAATTTAATGAAAATTTTTTCTTATTGAATTCGATATATTTAACAAAATAATAATTAGTTCCGTTTAATGAAGAAATAAGTTTGCTTAAAATATACACGACTGTATAGTGTATTGTGATAATACTTAATAATTGTAGTTGTATAATACAATATATTATTTACATTTATAATACAATAATTGTAGTATTAGTTGTGCGTATTAATATTTGTCTACGAAAAAACTAGGTAAGAAATTGTTTGAGAAATAAAGAACATTTTTTAATAACTCTAATTTTAAATTTAATAACTAAACAGTTTAAAGACTCTAATTTATTATTATTTTTTATTTATTTATTTATTAATTTTTTTTTTTTTTTTTTTTTTTTTTTTTTTTTTTTTTTTTTTTTTTTTTTTTTTTTTTTTTGACTTATACTTATATAAATTATTATACATTTAAACTTATGAATACTGTCTTTCATATATTTTGATTCGTTAGATAAATATTAAGTGACATTGTTAAGAACAGATTAACGGTTAATGCCCTATGTATTTGTGTCTAATAAAATAGTCATAATATCGAGATTCCTATAGTCTTAAGTTTCCATGCAACAACCATACCTCTGATTACGAACGTACATCAATTTACCTTTCACTTGTAAAATTGGCGTTCATGTACAATTCGTTTAAAAAAAAAAAACAAAACAGTCGTTCAATTTTCATTCGAAATACATTATAGGACTATACTTTATATATACCTTATAGTCATATTACATGATATATCATCGATCTATAAACAATCCATAAATAAACAATATCGATTCATGTTAAAATTACTTTTCAGCATAATGTTTAGGACAATGTTCCCGAGTTATGTAAAATAAACTCTTAGCCCATTAGCAAACATTAATTTGCGCTACCAGAGACAATGTAATAAAAAGAAGAAAAAAATTAACATTGCACTTGCATTAGTTTGAAGAAGCACGTGGATCCTATTTATAAAGAAGTACCTCCTCAATTGCTGAGAAAGTGATTTACGAATAAGCGCTGCGCAGTCTAAAGGAGCGTATAGCTCTTTAGCTCCTCGGTACTAACTAACTATCTAGCCTCGGCTCAACTTTAACTACAGCTACAACGGCCTCATGGTTGTCTGTCCCTGTCTGTTGTTCACGGCCTTTGGCAGTAAGAGGCAGCGGAGCAAAGCGATTCCGCGCGATATTTCGTAGCGCAGGCACAGTGGCAGTGAACGCCGTCTCAGTTGCATCACCGACTCCCAACTAGTTGCACTCGCTCTTGTGCGCGCGATTCGTTCTTTAGTTTTTTAGCCGCTTACAGTGCTGTAGTGCACTCGCATTTTCTTAGCGCTTGGACATAATGAAGTACGGAGTGTGAATTTGTGTCGGTGAATAATACGCTTTTATTCCCTTTCAGCCGCGGCTTCTTTATTGCTTCTGCGTTGGGCGTAGGATATGGAAAGCGACAGAGGAGAACAGATAAGACATCGGAATGTGCACGAGGTTTTCCTTTCTGCTGCTTTCTTTGCTGTAATTATCCGCTTGTCACTTATTAACTATCTGCGCTCTTCCCTTTTATATTCTACGAGTATCGTGTTATTTTAGTTTTTCGATACGATTTTTTTTGTTTGTTTTTTTTTTTCTTTTCTTTTTTTTTTTTTATTTAATTTTCAAATCTTAAATTTCATTTGTTTTCTTACCTTATTAACCTTATCTTACAAGTGACATATGGTTTTTGTACATTTAACACAAATTTATTAGATAATTAATGCTTAAATAAAATTGCTTTCATTATGCTTTGTACATTAATGAAATTTGAACATTACATTTTGAACATTAAGTTACGTATATAAGATAAATTAAGGTTAACGTTGACAAAAAGATAAGTGTAAGTGAAGAGTTACCGGTGAATGCGAATGATCTAACGCAATTTTTATAATCCATGTCCAAGTTCGAAAATGGAGTTTTTCATGGGACGGTCGAGATCAACTACTGGGTAGTGTGAAATATTTTTTCTTGATCATTGAAATCTCTTTTGCAATCAGGATAAATTAAATAAGTATAATTATGATATAATCTTTCATTTTTATATAATAGACAGAAAAGATTCTTTTTCAACAGAATGTATAAATCAATTTTATATTTATTATACTGACACTTTATTAATTTCATTTTTCCCACTTTAATGCTTTCTAAATTTTTCCTATTTATGATCTTATTCAACATTCAAACTATTATCCATAATACATACTAATAATTAGATATTTTGTAAAACATGCATTTCTAAATCTGATATTAAAATATGAAAATCTAAATTGATAAGTTTTTACGCCATAATAATTTCCAAACTCTCACAAAAATAATCATTTTTCATTCTACTCTATTGCAATAATTTATGAATCGTTTATGAAAACATTGAAATGTCAAATCTTCACAAACATTTCTTTTTAATAATCTACACAACAATAAATCAATAATCACGAATCAATTTGTTACGTGTTTATTTAATTGTTATAATTAATGTTCAATGCATTTTAAATTGTCTTATATAAAATTTAAATAAATATCAAATACATTTTACATTTAACTGAGACGTCGAACTGTAAAGTAGTTTTTTTATTGTAAATAATTTGTCATTTTTATTTATTATATAACATATATAGATATTTATATGAAGACAGAATTAATTTTTTTATTTATGCTGGTGTGTACAGTCTTAATTTATTTAGAGTATTTTTCGATTTGCTCGTAAATAATTAATTAAAATAGGATTCAATCTATAATATATACAAATTTTGATTTACATAGATTGAATATAAATCTTAAATATAGTAATATTAAAGCAATTTAAAGACAAGTATGTAAAGGCAATCGAAATAAAAAAATTATTTTCTAGTATCAGTTTCGAAATGTTTATTTTATTTATTTTTTATTTTTACTATTATTTATACTATTTTCTCAATAAATGTTTCTATAATCAGAGATTTCTTTTATTTTAATTTCTTCGTATCAAAATTATTGTAACGACATTTATACAAACCTTAAAATAATATAAATATTAAGACATGATAACTTACAACACGAAAGAAAGTTAATATTATGAAATTGTTTTTTTTTGTGAATATTTCATTTTGTAATTATCTACTTCTAGGTATCTATAGACTGAAAGACTGAAATATCAATAGTTTGAAATTGAATTTATATTTATTAGTTTTGTAATTTATTACTACGTCTGCTACAGCTACATTTGAAGTAAAAATAATTATTCATAAATATGAGTTAAGGAATTTTCATAATAATACAAATAATTATATTAAAATAAAAGATTGTGTAGAATTGTACTTATACTTATGACGATAAAATATTAATAGTTTTTTTATTACATAAGTCACTTTGTCGATTCGTTTCAAAAGTAATAACTTACATATAGATACAGTTACAGATGTATATATATATATATATATAACAAAAAAATTTTTATAAAGAAATATGAACAATCAATATTATTCTTAGAAGTGTAGATGTTGTTTTTATTTTATTAAACGTAAAGAAAATTTATTGTTTCTTTCATTATTCTGAATTTACAATATTTCTCTACAAATGATAGTAATGGATGATAATTATTATATAATATTATTTAACAGTTAACCTTTTAAATTTCATATTTATATAAAAAGTTATATAATCAGATCAGTTATAAATAAATTGAAAGTTTAATTTAATAATTAAATAGTACGATGCCCTAATCACTTAAATTGAAACTTAAAGTAGAAAATATTTATAAAAAAAGTGTGTAAAGTATATCTTATTTATATTATTCTTATGTTTATTTGAATATTATTAGAGCATCTAATTATATTTCTAATTATATTAGAAAGTAATTATTGAAATATGATTAACCTTATATCAATGCCAATTATATTATTTTTTTCAAATTAGATACATTGTTGAATCAAAGTTTTGTAATAAGTGATATTTAATAATGCATTTAATTATTTACATAACCTTGGTGTAAGAAGGCAATGGTTAAATATTGTCGCAAACGATTCATATATTAGTCATAGAATATTAATAAATAAATAGAATTCTTGTAATTTTCATGTAGAAAAAAAAAATCTATTCATAAATATTAATACTAAAAAATATATATATATATATATATAATATAATTCCTACAACTTAATTAATGTTTAGTAGTATCTTCGTTAACCTATTCGTTAATAAATAAATAATATACGATAGATGAAATTATTTGATCGATTCATCTTAATTTGAATTATATAAAGAAAAAAACTAATCATAGCAATTGTTGTAAATATCAGGCAAAATAAGACTCACAGATAAGTTTAAATATTATTTTAAATCGCTATCACACATCTTGTAAATACATAATATTACAAATAAATTCTTAAATATCAATTACTTTAAATTTAATGCTACGTATATTTTAATGTATATGAGATACAAATGGCTATAAAACCTAATAAGAAATTTTTAAAACTACTTAAGTAAAGAAAAACATTGTTTTCTTCATTGTATAGACTATTTTAAATATAATGTAAGCATATTTTATTGCTGGTTTTATTTATAATATAAATTCAAATCTCGGGTAATTGAAAAATATTAAACAAGGAATAAGCAATTCTTTATCTATAGGAAACAAATTGTAAAATTTTAATTATAATTTAAATGTAATGAAGCAGAATGACTTTTATTTTAATATACGCATAATATAATATATATTTTATATATACATACATAATTTATATATGAATGTATGCATATTATTTAGAATATATTTAATATAATTTAACGGAATATTTTATTGAATTATTTAACATATAATATTATTTAATACATTATATTGCAATTACAATTAAATAACTAGTGTCCCTGTTATTCGTAAAATTTAATTTAAATGATATTTAATTAATTAATTTGTGGACTTAACAAAGCATATAAAAGTTCTTTTCGTTATTTTTCTATTAAGAATTTGCTTATTTACTTTATACTGAATATCATTGATCTATATAATTTTGAAATGGTTATGTTCATAATTATTACAATATTTTGTTTCCGTTAACAAAAACAAGTATATCGAATCAACTTGAAACATAATAAGTTTTTTTTAATTAACATTATTTAATAAACTTTATTTTTATAGCGATCTAACAACAACAAAAAATTTCAATAACTCTTGTAAACTATAATTGCAATGCTTGTAACGACTGAAGTGGTAATGTTTTAATTAATAATATGTCTGTAATGATTAATTTTATTCTGTCAAAGTATCTGGAATTAAATTCCAATAATAATTTCTATCCTTGAAAACTACACATTGAATTAACATTCTAATAAAATAGGGTTTCACTTTGAATTCTTGATACTTTGACATGCCAAAGAAAAATTAATTCGTCAATATTATTTTAATAGTTAATCCGTACTTTTGCTTTAATAGGAAAAGCCACTTGATGATAAGGAAGTATCAACAGCCCGCGGTCGGTTGATTAGTAATAAAAGTGACGTGAAAACGTCTGTGGCAGTGTCAAGAGAGAGGGCCGATTCTGGCTGCTGCGAAGACGTTGCTGAAAGTCTGTCATCTACAGTAAGTAACGACATAATGCCAGAGCCGAACGAATCAACGGCTAAGCCGGACGACGAAGAACTAACCCTCGATCTCGATGTCATACCGCCCGAGGCACTTGAGTATGCGAGGCGGGAGCTCGGCGAAACTGATGAGGTCAAGTGCCAAACCATCCATGAGCTGAGGGAAATGATTTACGGTAATGCTTCCATACTATTATCAATGTGTATTAATCCATTGTCTTAGGGATCGATGATGTTAATTTAATTTTATAGTATTATTGATAACATTACAGCAATAAGGGAGAAAAACTGTTTTGTATATATATATATATATATATCACTTCACCTAAAAAAGATTTTATGCTTACTTGGAAACTAAAATATATAAGTTACTAATCAATATAATTACCTTTAAAAATAAATTTTTACTATAATATTATAAATTTTTTTAATTTATTCTTATTATTGTTGACGTTTTTCACTTTACATAAAAAATTCATAATTTTTTACTATTAATTTACTTTCCGTATTACATCTTTTTTACTTCGCTTATTCTTTATTTCTTGTATTGAGTTTTTAAGTTACGTGCAACGTACATAAAATATACATTTAAAAAAACATTTAATTTGAAATCTGCTCAAAATACATAAAGTTAAGTTAATTCATTTAACAAAATTGATTATCTTATTCTTCACTTATAATTTTAAATCATTTTGATATATTATGATTGTAAAAATATGTAAATAGATAAAATTCTATGATAATAATACATAAAAATACAATAATACATAAATCATTATATAATTTTTTAATTGAATACTAATACAATTGACATTAATAACCGGATATGTGTTATTTAATTATATATAATATAATGGACTTTGTAATAAATTTGATAAAATACCTTTGTAATAAAATAAATTCAGATTCTCAATAATTTCGAAAGAAAATTTTATAAACGATTTTAATTATTTATTTCATTATATTACTTACATATTTATTTACTATAAGCTAAAATGAAGACATTTTAGTCCTATATTTTATATTGGATTATTGTTATCATAGCAATTTAATTTTACATATTTTACATATAAATTTGTTAATATAGCCTGTATTTATCTAATATTCAATTACAAAAATTTACATACAATTTTGATAATTATTAAATGATTATTAAATACAAAACTAACATGTAACACATAATTAATGTCGATTTCATAAAAATGGCTATTCATTATAGAACGAGGAGAGTGTATGCCACATCGAATGGACGATGATTTCCTACTTAGGTTTCTCAGAGCTCGTAATTTCAATGTCAATCGGGCGCATCGACTGGTAACCATTATTAAATTTTCAATAGATATTATAATTTTAATCAAACATATTTATAGTTATAAATTAGACAATAATAATGAGTATGTAGTAATATTTTTTCAGTAAAACAATTTCTGTATTAATATTAAGAGATCAAGAGGTAATTAAAAAAAAATCATTTATTAAATATTTAGTGATAAATGATTTTCTTTTTAAATAAATTAATGAATTACCTATAAACTGTTATTTGTAAGATATGCCATATGATCTACTAATAATTAAAAACTACTTATTGTATAATGAAATTAATAGAGCATAAATTGTAATTGTGGATTATATAGAATATAGACTATTGTATACAATATTTGTTATACAATATTTAACAATATTAATATACTATAATTATATGATACATATTTTATTTTATAGAAAATTCAATCGTTATCATTATACATAGGAGTAATGATTTAATTACATATTTTAATGGTTCAATTACCGGCAATATTAATAGAATATTTTACTACATTTATTCATTACGTGATTCACTTTTTATCATACTAGTATAATATATTGTTATTAATAAATATATATACATATATATATATATATATATATATATATATATAATGAATCTCATATCAAGTTAAATTTTAGAAATGGTAAAAGATAAATAAAATTTTATAAATCATAAATTGTTTTCTTTTATTATTTGACTTAAATCTTTCTTTAAAGCATCAATTTTTAAATTGAATTACTTTATTTACTTTATAATCATCCGGAATTTCAAATAACTATAAACTATTAATTTCATTTTTTTTTTTATTGAATTAAACATTTACAAATAGATAAATTATTAAACGGGTATTAATTTTATAGAAATAAAAGGTATATTTTTCATTTAATCCGGTTCTTTAAAAAACATTAATTTATACTAAAAAAAAATGTATGTTGCGGTAAATTAAATTTTTAGCAACTATTGTTTCATCTCGATTAATGCCAATTGCATTAATTTCTTCACCACTTTTATTAAACTATAAAACTTTATGTCCTAAACATTTTTATACTAAGACAATAAATCAGTAATTGTAAGATGAATGTTTGGAATAAATACAGCTTGTGGCATTGTGTCAAGGTAAACGCCGATCGTATTACTATCGAGTGAGTTACGGTTGTCTAATGAAAAAGAAATATGTATAATACACACAGAAATAGATAGAAAAGTAAATAGACAGTACACAACATAAAAATACTTGTTGTACATAAAGTTATATAATGACGCATACACATGCACAGAAAATAAATTCTGATCTTGCACTTATTTAAAATTCATTTATGTATTTATAAATGTTTATGTGATAACAATAAAATCATTCATGTGCATCTTACTGAATAAATACTATTCAACAGTTACAATAAAATAAATATGAATTTTACGTCTAAAAAAAATATTTTAATCGAATAGGATATACGATGAATAATTCTGTAAATTGCAAATATTCATATATAATGAATATTCATATATAATGAATAATAATTCATATATAATGAATGCATTAATGACGATAGTGTATGTATGATTTTATTTATTGGTTGTTTTAATTATTGACTTTGTATTTTATAATAAATAAAATTATGTTTCTTTTTATTCTAATTTAAATAATAAAAACTCTTATAGATAAATCATGAGATTATTTTCATTTGTAGTTTTTAAGTGAAACATGAATAATAAATTATAATTTACAAGTTTCATATGCACTAGATGGCCACACATATATAAACATAAAATTATTATTCCCAAGAGTTATTTACATTTTTTGTCAATTAATATTAATTTATAATGATATATTTGCGTATTGTCTCGTTTAAAATTATAGATTTGGTAAAATCAAATTGATTATAGATTGTTTCAATTTTATAAAATATTATTTGTAAAAATGGCATTTTTTTAAAAATAAACTCAACTATCATAATAACGCATAGAATAATAAAATAAATTGAAAAAATGAAACAATTGTAATAGCATAATTAAAAAAAAATTATTTAAAGTTTTAATAAATTTTCAAACTTATGATATAATATTATATATGATTATATATATATATATATATATATATATATATATATATATAATTTTCAATAAAAATATATTTCCTTTGCTTATTGAAATTATCTCATTGACGATAAGAATTAACAAATTATTTATTATTATAATTATAGAACTTGACTGGGCTACTGATTTTAAAAAATAATTGATTAATAAGTAAAAATATAAATAATATTTCAATATCAAACATTTGCTCTAGTTTTTATAAATTACTTAGGAAATAACTATAATGTTTTTATTTAACATTTCAAATTGAATAAGCAAAATGAATAAGTAATTTGTAACCTTCTAAATTATTAGTTAATATCTTATTTTCAGAACATTATTATAATCTTTCGTAGTTGTATATAAATTTTACCCTATAAAATATATTATTTTGCACAATATTTTGCACATCATGTTAAGTTTAATGTTAATTTTAGAAGAAATGAAATAAAACTAATTTTACACAATCAATAATTAAATTAATATCAATAATTGAATTAACCTATATACGAAGTTGTATTTACGGTATTATGCAAATTTATAAGTAATACCTTATTATTATTGACAAATTTTCATTTATTCTTTCCTCTCTTATTATAACTAAGTTCTATATGCCTAAAGATTATATAAAAGCCATACATTATACGAATGTTAACTCATATAGTACATCCATTCTTTTTAAACATATAGAGTTATTATTATTATTATAAATATTATTATTATTATTATTATTATTATTATTATTATTATTATTATTATTATTATTATTATTATTATTAATATTATTATTATTATAATAGTCGAATATCTGTAAATTATATTATAAATACTTGTGAATAAGAATGCACTCTTTTGAGAGACGAAGATAAATCTTGTTGAGAAATGAGACAAATAATACGAAAAAATAATTATGTCTTTATTTTCTATATAATCAATATATTTATCATTAATTATAATTATGCGTTCATATTGTTTAATTAACTTAAAGAATGTTTTCAAATACAATAATCATGAAACGAGGCAACCTTTTATGCTCGAGTGCCTTAAACGAGAAAAAATTCTGTTTACGGAGAAAAGTATCGAATACATCGATTATGTCGACCGAGACATCAGTAAAGATTCCGTTCATTGATCTTGCGTGCATTGCGCGTAAGATATATTTGATTGTGCCACACCCCTGCGCGCGCATCAAGCCACCATTACCACCTACAATGCTTTGCGGGCTTAATTGACAATGTAATTTTGAAACTACAAGGCTTTTTTATTACGCAGTCTACTAATTTTGCATATGTCCGATTACTTATAATAAAGAATAATCGCTTGGATGCAATACGAAAAATGATTTTACACGAAAAAAATTTTCATTAAGAATTTAATTTAAGAAAAAAGATGCTATAAGATGCAAAAATTAACGTATATTAAGCACATAATAATAATAATAATAATAATAATAATAATAATAGGTAATGAAGTTGATTAGACGAAAAGTCATTTGAATAATAATATCGTTTCAATAATATCTTTATGATTGGTAATTTCATCTCTTTCTCTCTGATAATAATCTCATAAATTTATCTCTTACAGTCTCTTACAATGGTGCCAAAAATTACGAAATTGACAGTCAGGGTTTGCAAATAATACAAAAATAATCTGCTTAATAAATAGGCAGTTATTAATTAAGATTTAAAGTTTTTTTTAAAAAATTATTTTTAAGAAATAAAGAATTCCAATTAACTGAAACAAAAGATAAAAAAATGAAGTTTAATCATTGTTTATAATGGATTAATAAATCGCACAGTCTAAATAAACATTTTCGCATTTAAAAAATTACATCTACATGAGCTTTCTCATTCGGATATGTTGTAGATAGTGCGCTATTATACATTCAAGGAAGAACATCCTGAAATTCACCAGGATGTAAATCCGGTTGAAATGAGGCACATTGGCGAGGAAGATATAATGACGGTACCGGCCTACCGTACACCTTGCGGTCGACGTATGATGATTTATCGGATGGGTAATTGGGATCCACGCAAGTACTCCGTAGAAGAGATTTTCAAGGCGACAGTTATCATATTAGAACTAGGATTGCTCGAGCCTCGTGCTCAAATACTCGGCGGTGTAGTTGTATTTGATCTAGAAGGCATCACCATGAGTCACGCATGGATGATTACACCTCAGGTAGGAGATTAATAAATTACTGAAATTCTTGTTAGTTGAAATAAAATTGGTTTGATAAATATTTGATAGACTATGCCATAATCCATGAAATAGCAGCTTATTATTAATCGTTTACATTATTTATAAATAACAATATAGTAGCTTAAAAATTAAAAAAAAAAAAAAAAAAAAAAAAAAAAAAAAACAACACATATACTAAAGCTTTCATTTATCTTTCATTCGTTAAAATTATAATTATTTTACCACGTATAGCATAAAGATAAATCAGAAAATCCTGTATTCGCTAAAGTAAGTTTTTCAACAGGTAGCCAGTATGGTGTTGTCACTCATGGTTGCGGCTTTTCCCATGACTACCCACGCAATTCATATTCTTCATCAGTCCTGGATTTTTGATACTATGTTCGCCGTATTCAAGCCTTTAATTGACTCTCGCATGAATCATAAGATTTTTTTCCATGGCGACAATATGGAAAGCTTACACAGGCACATCCCACCGGCATATTTGCCGAAAAAATACGGCGGCACACGTGAAGAACTCCCATACTACAGGTGGATCGATTCACTTGGTAAAGATCCGCGTGTTGTTAAAGAGATGAGGGGCCTTGGCTATATTATTCCCGATGAAGCTGTCCAAAACGATAATAAGGCTTAATAATTATTGCTTACTCGTACAATTATTCTTCAATGAAAAGGATTTCGATAAATATCTTTTTTGAAAATACGGGCGCAAATTAACCGAATGAAATTCAAATATGCAATATTTATGGGATCGATAGACTCACAAAATATAAAATCTTTTAATATTCTGCGCTAGTTAATTTTTTTTTTTTTATAATCAAATTATAAATACAATTTTGATTTTATAATTTTTGCATTGAACTATTTTTTTTGAATTTTTATCTATAAATTTTTAATTAACAATATTTTAAACTTTACTTTATATTCGGAGGTATAAGCCATTAATTCAAAGTTTTTATTCTCATTCATGAGTCAGACTGAATTTTCCGAATTTTTGAATCTACAAAACGAAATATTATATAACAAATGCCCTCATAAATACGAATGTTTATTAATGTTTATTTTTTAAGTAAATAAATGATGCCCTAATATCCTTTGACATCAGAGTGTAAAAACTTAGTTCTTAGATTTAATTGAAATTAACCAAAAAAAAAAAAAAAAAAAAAAAAAAAAAAAACATACGAACATACGAAAATAAAATATTGTTTTCAGTTTTAAATTAATCATTTCAAATTTTTTTATTTCAAATAAAAGATTTCTATTTTATCAATCCAAAAATTATATAATTATAAAATGATACCTTTAATCAAATTGCTAAAACAGTTGTCTTTGTAAATCTATGATATAAATTAATTGTAAAATTATATTATATATTTTTTAATAAACTTTATATTTTAATACTTACAAAATCAAAATTTGTTTTTATTCTAAATGAATTTTCATCTAATGAAAAACATACAAATAAATTAGCAGAAAAAAAATTTTATGTTATAAACTATCTTTAACATCAATATCATTAATATAAATCATTTATTTATAATTCAATTTTCATTATATTTTCGTTATTTCATTATATTAATGTGAAATTATTTAAATAATTATATATCTCATACATTATATCAATATTTTCTTATCATTATTAAATTCGATTTCATTTATATTATGTAAACAGAATTCATCCATTTTTGTGCTGTAAAAACTTAATTATATTAATCTCAAAAACAATATATTAATTTATCATCATATAGCGTGTGTTTTTATTGTGTAACTTGATGTTCAGATGTCGAGTACATATCATAATTTCGAGTGCTCTAGTATTATTTCTTGTGCAATCTATTAAATATTGCTTTATTTTTATTATAATTTTCTGTATATTTTATTTCTATTTATAATATGTAATCTATAAATGTATTACATATATATAACATATAATAATAAATTTTTTAGAAATTATTTCGAGTGAATTATTATAAAAAAATTCTTAAATGTTTATTATATTAAATTTTAATATTCTTGTATTTAGTATTTTGCTATAAAATAAAAATTATATTTCAATAATAATAATAATAATTTTTTACAGAATTATTCTTATTATTTATTGTATTTTTTTGTATTTTTATTAATTATTTATAATTTTTGCATGTACTTAGTACATTGACTTTTAATTTTCATTTTATAATTGATAATAAATAAATCTTACTAATACCAAATTTTTATAACATTAAATAAATATGTTCTATAAAATATTAATTGAATATTAAGTGAAATTGTAAGAATGAATTAGTTTTTTTTTTTTTTTAATAATATTGTTGCAGGAAACTTATTATGAAAATTTAATAGTTGTTTAAAGATTTATTTAAAGCTTTTCGTATTATGTAAAGTAACTTAACTCCTAAATTCAAATTGTTATCGTTAATATTAATTAGATATTTTACGTCTAATAAGTGTGAATTAATAAAATTAATTAAAATTTATGATAACAATTTGTCTCTAACAATATTATAAATATTATATATATTATTATTGTTATTATTATTATTGTTATTATTATTATTATTATTATTATTATTATTATTATTATTAATAATATTATTATCAATAAATTATATTTATACTATATTAATTAAATATTTAAAATTATGAATGAAGTATGAATTTAAAATGACATTGAAAAACGAAATTCACAGTATCGGTATTTTTTTAATCTACATTGATACTAAAGAATATATGTGATTACATAAGCTTCCCGAGAATAAATTTGAACACTGACTAATTTTGAGAATCGAACTACTTACTTATTTAAGAATTGTATAAATATATTATGAAATATTATGTAAAATTTTTTTATTTATGGCTTTGTGTAAAAAGACATTTTGCAATTTGTCAGTCACATTACATTCTAGATAACTTATTTCAATTGTAGTTGCTTCGGGTAAAATGAATAAGACCAATAGATGAAGTAACTTAATAGGACCGACAATTAACAGCCGGAAAACGTTTCGTTATGAAGTAAAATCGTTTGTTCTCTCTCTCAGACAAAACTATGCTTGTTCAATGAAAATTTTTGATTGTCTTGTGTAAATTACCTTGTAGGTAGATTTATATCCGGATTGATATCCGTTTATGGAAATTAAATATCTAAAAATGCTCAATAATAATTATATTAGAAAAATATTTAAATAGAAATGATTAGTTGTAGATAATAATAAGGAGAAAGCCATTTAAGAACTAAAGAAAGAATTTAACTTTTAGAAAAGTAACCTCGTTTTTATAGAAAGAAGTTTAATTTCTTACGATTTTTTTATATACTTGAAGTTGTCAAGTCGGTAAATAAATCCTAGTAAATACAGAATAATGTTAAGATATAAGAAAACTATAAATATGTAAATAGCAATTTTTTATTTAAATATTTGACTTAAATATGTGTGTGCGCGTACGCATATTTATCTAAAACAAGTTTTTATTTTATTTTTACATACAAATGGGGTAAGTATATGATCCTAAATATTTATATTTCTATAAAACGCATATATACGAGAATACAAAAAGAATTGTAGTAAACTTGGTCAATTTTTTGGTATTTTGCTTTATACGATATCAATAACTATATAATTTTCTACAATTTTATATATATATATATATTAGTTAATACTCGACTTGAAAGTAATTTTTTAGTCTTATTTATTTTCTGAATTAAAATCAGATTCAATAATTTTCTATTAAGAATTTCAATTAACTTTAAATTCGAACAATTATCGCTATGCTAAAACAACAATTATAAAAGAAAAACAGTTCTCGTAAAAATCAAATTATAATAGAAAAAATTTTATATTTCGAAGAAAAAATTATAAATGAAATATATATTCTGATCTTTAATAATATATTCTGACCTTTTTTAAACGATATTAGAAATGCGTCTTACAGTGGCAAAGGTCGCAAATAGGAGACTCAGTAGAGCGGATCCTCGGCTGATCAGACTTGACTAGTCTTTTAGAGGAATAAGGTTTGGAAAAGGGGTAGTGGCGCGTGGAAGAGTCAAATACTCATATTGCAAAATGTAAACATTGGAAATAGGATATAGTCACTGTTAGAACTTAATGTAAATTTTTGTTCTTAAATTTTATGAAATTTCTTTTGTTAATTAAGTTTATTGCAAACATTTACAGTTACATTGGTTAAAAAATATACATAGTGTGAAGCAGCTTTGTAAGTGGCTTAGTCCAAGTACAACATTCGTAGCGAAATGAAATTAAAAAACTAAAATAAAAATCATGAAGTATTAAAATTTTTCATTCATTCATTTAAAAAAATGTATATTAATGACATTTTCAATAAAATATTGGAATTACACGTAATAACATCAGAAATTTTAGGTTTAATAAGTAAGACATTAGATAGATTTTGTCAATGCAAAAGTGTTTAAATACAATTTTTGGTGAGCAAAATTATAAAAAAAGTTTTAATTAATAGTTCTCGGAGTACAATTATAATGTTACGATAGAAACTTTCTTTAAAGGTATATATTATAAAAGAAATTACCAACATTTCGAGCCTATAACTAACTTCATTGGCATTTTAAAATTTTAATAATAGTGAACAATTGTACTATATATTATTTGGACGTTATGTACAATCATCAATCAGTATTAATTTTTTATGTTTCTATCGTATTCTTTAGTATTTTAGTAAAAAAAAAAAAAAAAAAAAAGAAGAAATATTAATTTGAAATAATGTACATTTCAATAAAAGGAGTATGTAATTAATATTTTAATTTTTCACATGACCAAAAATTGAAAACTGTATTTATAATTTGTTTTATTTGCCATATATTTATAATGGAAAATAAAATAAATGGAAGTAAAGGAAAATGAAATATATCAACTATTATAAAATACATAACTTTATTATTATTATGATGTTATTAACAATATACTACTATTAAAATATAGAAACTTTATTCATTGTAGTTGTATAATTATTTAAAATGTTTTCTAATTTTCTAATTATAGAATTTAACAGATACGATGTTATCCATTGTCGAGGTACCATGAAATGCAATTTTAATTTAAACACAAAATTACCTATAATTTGTAAATACTTTATAAATTTATATCAATATTTTATATAAAAGTAATAATTTCATTAATTAATTTCGTAATACATTGATCCACATTTCCAACTTCAATCATTTATTATAGATTAAAAAAGAATTCTGAACTTCGATACTATCATATTGAAGTTAATTAAAAAGACAAAAAATAAGTTCAAAATGAAGAAGTGTAAAAAATAAAAAATCAATGCATTTCAAAAAACGAAGTGAAAAATTGTACATATAGTTCACACGAGTAAAGTCGTTAAGTTCTTTTTATCAAATGAAATCCTAGTGGATGAAAAAGTTGAAGATATATGCGAAGTTGGTGGGATTAAAAAAAAGAAGAAGAAGAAGAAAGGATAGCCAATAATAGTGCCACTATTATAATTAGTACTCTACTTAAATACTGTCGTAAAAAATGAATTGTGTGCGAGTATATTTGAGGTATCACATTGCTATATGTGTTGAATAGTATGGGAAAGGGCGTTAGGAGAGGGGAGGGTGATAAGATATAGTGTATGCGTGCCTGTATGCATTAATGCGCGTACGAGAGATGAGGGAGAGCGAGAGAGAATACGAGAGGGGCAGATAAATACGGAAGGAGATAGATAGAGAGAGAGAGAGAGAGTGAGAGAGTGAGCAAGGGGGGGAGGGGAAGTAGTTGGTTCTTGATATCGATTCGGAGAGGATTCCTTCGAGCGCCGTTGGCAACCTACCTCCACTACGGCGCTTTTCTCTACAGCGCAAGCCTGGAAAAGCTACTGCGATCACTGTGGTTTACACGAGTGGTTGCTGAACAGGCAGTAATAACCCGGCCAGTCTCCCGCGCGCGGACAATGTATGCTTGCATCATACTTCACATAGCCGGACGGGCGAATCACGACAGGACGTAGTCCTTAAAAATCTGTTTCAATGTTAAATGTAGGAGGGTAGTAAGGCTCTTAATATTGGCAGTGCAGTTTATTTGCGGCAGTGTATCAATTGGTAGATTTTTTTCTCTCTGCAAGAAAGAGGCGGAGAAAATTGAGAAAACACTGGTGTGCGTGGAAAATATGCTACGATGAGTGAGCTTAAGAAAATGTAGTGAACTTATATTGTTCAAAATAAAGCAACGAGACGACACCTCTCATTTCAAGATTTCTTAAGTATGTCAGGCAGGATTTTGATTAATAAAATTATTTTATTAATTAGAAGACGATTGATATTGTTGGATCTATATGAGCAGGCATAAGCGCACTTAAAACTTACTGAATGACGCTTAATTACTGGCGTCTTATGAAAAAGAAGCTGAGAGAATATTTGCAGCGGTGCATCTTGATATCATTGATTGAACGTTCATTGAAAATTGTAAAAATGTCAGCACATTTTTAACTAGATACTCTACATTCGATTAAGAGCCATTTAAAAATACTAGATTTAAGCTTAGATAATGGAATATCCGATGATATAAGGAAGTCAAGTATCAAGCACTACTATTAAGATTATAATGATTGGATGAAAAAAATCTCTCCCAATTCCAATAGAATATAAATTCTTATTTATTTGAATTAATAAGTGCGTTCGAATAGTAAAGTGCCTTTTTAAAGTATGTGGAAGTCAGTTGGAACTAAAATCACCTTCTGATAATAATATGCACTAGGCAAGCGTTATGCAATCGATGATATTTCCAATTCAAACGTGCACCATCGCAGACTATCTAAAAACTTCCTAATATTTACTCTTGGTCAATAATATATAGTTAGTGTAAAATAAAGTGGAAATTGACGAATATAAATGGAGGAGCAATTGAGATTCTGGAAGTTTGAAATGTCTGATAATGATTGAATAGAAAGAAACTTTTACGCATTCATAAATAATGAATGAAAATATCGAATATACGAAAATACAAATGAATGTGAACTTTTATTGTTTCAAAAGAAATAATCGACCAATGCAATATTACGACTACTTATAAGATGGCGTGCATTAGTTATATGTCCTTATTATAGATAGGATATTAAATTTAATTCATGTACCTCCTTAGAAACTATTAAGGATATGGAAATTACAAGGATTCACAAGAATCCCCATAGACTTACAATTAATTTATTCAAATTAGCAATACAACATTATCGACTACATTAAGAGCGTCTAGTATGGTAAAAAATTTATAATAAATTTAGAATCTCATAAGGAAATTAATTTCATATAGATCAGAAGAAGCTAAGTTGATAAAAATGTCTATGCGACTGGAAACTTCGAACGAGGAGTCATATCTGAACAGCGGCAGACCATCAAATCTTTTGAAAACTAGTTTTTCCAGTACGAAATTGGAAAGACTTTATCGTTCTTCATCTTTACAACAGCGTCGCGGTGGTCTTCAGTGCTTTTTAATTTCTGCTGTATTCTATGACTTCTACACTTTGGCTTTACCAGACTCTGAATTACCAGCCAGAGGCTTAACAGCAGTTTTTCTTGGGCTGAATCTTGGACTGTTGGCCTGGGCGGAAAGGGGAACGAGAGCAAGGGATGCACTCTGGTCGGTGGTTCCCCACGTGGCCTGGCAAATATCCATAGCGCAATTGCTTGCTCAGCTGTTCCTCAAGTCCACCGAGGTCACGCCCCGAGACAGCCTAGGATGGTTGCTATTGTTATTGTATCTACATTTCGCTACTCTGCCACTCAGATTATCTCTGTGTGCTCTGTTGGCTGTAGGCACTGCAGCAACTTATATGGTGTCGGTAGTTGGACTATCCAAGGCTCCTGTACCTATTGAAGTTCTTGTAAGTTTTCCGTAATTTAACTTTTTTTTTTTTTTTTGAGTATCTTACAATCTATATATAATAATAAAACTGTAGTAATATGATAATTGAGTAATATCGTTTAAATATCTAATCAAATAATTATCTACCGAACTATTAAAATAATATCAAATGACTTACTCTGTAAAAATTATGGCTATATTCATTCGTAATACAGTAAAATTAATTTGTATTTAAAATTCAAATTAACCTTTACAGCTGAAATTACAAATTATGTGTATCACAGTAATAAGCTTTTTAATTATTACAAAAGATATTTTCAATAATTAAACTCACCATTCTTATACAAAAACAAAATTTTAAATTTGTAAAAACAAAAGTTCAATTTTTAATTCTGGGATATATAGTATATTATGTGTGCGTCTGTGTATGTGTACGCGTGCGTAAATATATATATGTGTGTGTGCGCGTGCGTGGGTGTGTGTGTGTGTGTGTGTGTATGCGCGTGCGTGAGAAATAATGTATATTAAATTTTAAAGTCTAATAAGGCGAAATTTAATAATTTAAGTTTTTAAATAAAGAACAAATTGTCATCAATTATCTATCCAAAAAAACTTGCTTATTAGAAAATACGTAAATTTTATCATCTTATAGTTATTAATTACATAACTCATCAATTATTTAAAATTGGAATATTTTTATGAAATATATTCTGGAGTGTATTATATTTATAGTGCACACCGAAATATATAACACGCATATATATATATATATATATATATATATATATGAATATACAAAACTATTTATACAATAATTTTTAGAGTATATTATAAATAATGTATGATATTTGGAAAAAGCTAATAAAATCATGATTGACTTAATTTCAAACTTTTAAAACATTCTAAAAAATTTCAAACTCATGAACTAAATTATTATTAGGAAATTATAAAATATATTTACAATATATTTTAAATTTTCATTTACTATATATACAATAGATATTTTACATTAATTAAACTAAAATCTTCTAGGATCTAGTTAAGATCTTTTTTTTTAACCATTAAAATAAGTTTGAATTTAATTAATTATTACATTCATGTTTTTTTTTATGTATAAAAAATATTCAATTTAATAGAAAAATTATAAATAATTAAATTACACTGTAAAGTAAAATGCTAAATAGGTATAACAATATAAAAGTAATAAATCCATTGAAGTAGACGCAACCAAATGAAATTCAACCAATAATTAATGATTTATAATAAGGTATATAAATTGAAATATTTAAATTTTTTTATAAATATTACTAAGTAGATGTGCAGAACTAAAAATGTTATTCGTTATCATCAACTTTCTCTATTACTTTTTATAAGTATATATAAATATAAATAATATAAAAAATGAATAAATTTTCATAGTCCTTTTTACAGAATTTTTTGAAAATAGTATATAAAAGTATTAAGGTATTTGGAATTTCTAAATATTTTATTTATATTATTTGAAGTTAAAACAAAATAATTCTAATTTTATTTTTATATAAACAATTAGAAATTTAAAATAATATTTATTGATATATTTTACGAATTCAATTTTAGGATACCATATTAAGGATATATCAATTTTAATATTTAATATGAGAGTATTATTATTATTAATTGTAGTATTATTTACATTCAGAATTTAACAGATTTTTTAGTCTATTATTGCATTACTATCAGCACATGTATTTAAAAATTATTATTAAATATAAATATATGTACTACTAAATATATAGAGATAAAATATTATAACATTTATTTTTAATCAGAATCTTCTAGTTATTGTAATAATTATCTATATTATAAGGATCCATATTATAACGATCTATAATAAGGTACATTACATGAGTATAATATTAGTTATTGTGTTTTTATCAATTTATTAAAACATATTTTTATTTACTATACTGAATTGTGGCTGTATATATAAATATTATGCTAATAAATTTATTCCAATATAAATTAAAAATAATATACATAAAATTATTTGAAATTAAAAAGTCATCTGAAATTTAATATTGTATTAATTCAAATAAAATCTTATGTATGCAAATACTACATTTTAACAATGTAAACATTAGAAATTGTATAACATAAGCATATTAAAATCTCATAAAATAAAATATTTACTCTTGACATATATAATATTTTAATCGTATATTGTCATGTGAAAATATATTCATAATTGTTTTAGTTATCGAAAATTTGTTTTATAATTTATTGAAAAATAAAAATAGTAATTAAAGTTTCAAAATTGATTATAACAAAACAGGAAAGTATTATTTATATAATATTGCAAAATAACAAAATATTATCATTATTACTATTATTATTATTAATGTTAACTTTAAAAAGAACAATTACAGCACTATTAATAAGAAGAAGAAAAAAAAAGAGAAAGAAATACTGAAACAAAAAATATTTCAAAAAAAGGAATAGAAAAAGGAACAGAAAAAATGAGCGAAAGAGTAATAAGAATGATTAAATGATTGCTTCATTAATTTTTTTGAGAAATTACATTCGTATTTTAATTCTATTTTATTTTTTAATTTTTTATTATCTCTTCTAATGCTTTTTATATTATAACCTTCCAACTTCTAATTTCAAGTTATGTAATAGCATTATGAGAAAAAGAAAAAGTATATGTCTGTCGCTTTTCATATAGTAGTTCGTATAATATAAAGTAAACGTATATCTTTAGATCAGAATAGGCTTTGATTAAAACTGCTGTCTTCCTTATTTTGTATTATCTTTAATTCTGACAGACTTTACTTCTGTCCCATAAAAGTAAAAATTTTTCAAATTTTACTGAACTTTTAACTAAGATCATTCAAGAACAATTAGAATTACTATTTTATTGTATTAATGTTTTCATTCAATTTTAACATTAAGATTACAAAGTTAAATTAATTTAGATGTGTATAATGATAGCTAAATTAAGTATTTATTAATTTAATATTCATTGTTACAAATTGTATTATAATTTAATTTTAAGAATAAAATTAAAGTAACAATTGTTTATGAATTAGTAGTTTATTTGAAATTTTTATAAATTATTTTAATACATTTGTCAAATGCATACATAATTTATTTGTATTTATAAAATTGATCGTTGTAGTATTATATTAAATTTTATTTTAGTTATTGTTTATCGTAACAATACTAAATTGTTCATACAGTACATTTTGTTTTATTTTATTATTTGAATGAGCATACACGTGCTTCATTTACGCTATATTTCAAATATTCGGCTTTTCTGTTTAGTATTATTATACAGTACAATCAAATTAAAACTTAAGCCTTTGATAATATGTATTGTGTGTTCACATAATTAGATAACAGTTAATCAGGGAGCAATTAATTTCATTATTAAGATTTACAAATAGCTACTTTATGATATATCATATATTGCTAATTAGTAAATTATTAATGAAATAAGAAAAAACGCGTAATTTTTATTATACCACACTTTCTATGTAATTTTTTTTTTCGTACAAATATAAAATAATTTTAAACATTGATTTTCTATATTTCTAACCAATTATTTCATAACTAAAAGCAATGAAATTAAAAATATAAAAAGTGAAAGTTGAAAAGATCTTTTAATTAAATTAAGGCTTCAATTGAATGTCAACCTAATTATTCAAAGTGCATTTGCTTTAGTGTTCAATTAAGTATGCCTAAAAATATAAAAAACCAAAAATTAAAGAATTGTTTTTCAAGTAAGATTAAGTTAGATAGAATGGGTATACATAACATTATATCATTGATAATAAAAAAAAAAAGAAAATATATGATGGCGGAGAAAATTCGATTTAAATTATATTAGATATTGGAGTGATGAGAAACATTTAACTAAAATTGTCCATTGCTAAATTAAACTTTTAAATATTAAGTCTCTAATTAATAATGCAACGAAATTACCTTGTGCCAAAATATTTTATAAGTCAATAGATTAATGATTAATCTTTAACTTTGTTTGATACATTTGTCATACATTTATCAAATATCTATGAATTTCATGAATCTCTGTTGCGAAAGCTCCTCTCACTCTAAAAAATAGTTCATAATCTATTACAAAGTAGAGCAAGTCAAGAAAGTCTTGAGGATAGAATATAAACGACTTAGGCGATCATCATAGCTATTGTTAAAAAAAAAAATTGAATCTTAATAAATTCATTTAACATATTGACAAATCATAATTATTGTTATTGTTATTGGATATATAATTGTTGGTTATATTTCATTCACTCATTTCAAACTATTAATAAAAAAATAATATGAAATATATATATGTATGCCACGTAGTGTAGTTGAACTTGTTCATTTATTTTCATATTATTAATAAATTATATTAATTTTTAAAACCACTGTCTTCATTTTACGTATAATAAATATACAAAATGAAATTCCAAAATTACTTAATTAAAAACCTGTATAAAATTTATCGTCAGAATATAATATTATATGATCTTACAATTAGTTATGGATATTAAAAAAAAAAAAAAAAGAGTTCTTGAACCTTTTATTTCATTAGCATAAATATTAGAACTAAGTAGAATAAAAGTAAATATAAACTAACGAAACAATCATTATAAATATTTACAGTTTTTTTTTTCTGCTTAATAGTAAAATATTCTATAAAAGGTAATAGGTTTTGTCATTTTAGATATTAAATAAATTATTGCTCTGACGGTAGAAGTTGTTTTAATAATTAAAATTTACGATAATGTACCTTAAGTATTTAACAAAAAATTTTCACCATAAATATTTACTGAATTTCATACTAATTTCCCGTATCCATAATAATCTACAATAATTCCATTAAGCTATACAATTGAAAGAAATTGTATATTTTTTGTTACAGATTCTGACAGTAACACTATCACTTTGTGCCGCGGCTCTTGGTGCTTCAAGTTATTCGCTTGCTGAATTCCAGCAGCGTCGAGCCTTCCTTGAAACTAAACAAAGTCTCGAGGTGCAACTTATCATCGAGGAACAAAGTGCCGAACAGGAGAGATTGCTGCTCAGTGTCTTACCAGAGCACGTCGCTGTAAAAATGCGACAGGATCTTGGGGCTTCGCTCGATACGCAGTTTAAAAAGATCTATATGTCGCGTCATGAAAATGTATCCATACTTTATGCGGATATTGTTGGGTTTACGGCTATTTCTTCGACATATTCAGCGAGCGAACTTGTGAAAATACTTAACGAGCTATTCGCTCGATTCGATCAGCTTAGCGAGAGGTAAGTAATAATTTATTATTATACATTAAACTTATTGAAAAGGTATAAAATTTCTTTAGAAATAAATTTATAATTAATATTAATAAAAAGGCTAGTTAATACAGGTCACTCTTATATAATGTACTATATATAATTATTCAATGTGGAAAATAAAAATTTTGTCAACTCAGGTAAAAATGTTTTATGAGATACGATGGGATAATATAGTGGGATAATATAGTCTGCAATCGATTTCTATGATTCATGAACTCAAATATCCTGGCATTTTTCCATATCATTGTATAATGTACCTTTCCTACCTCCTACGATCGATGCGAATTAGTCAGTCAAAAATATAATACACAGAAGAGATTTATGACAATTTCCTTTTTAATTGTTCCTAAAATAACAGTAATTGTCCTTCTTTTATTTATAGATTCTTCTCCTTCACTTCTGTTTTCATACTCGTTCTATCCACATTTTCTTTACCTTAATTCCTCCTCGTTTCTCCTCCGCAGATTGTTAATATCGAGTAATCCAAACTAATTTATTCTGATAGACATTAACTTCAACTATTTACAAGGCTTTAACTTAAGGCATTATATTTACCTTAAATTTATTCATACTCCCCGTCTACGAAGGACCTACTCATCCATTAATAACTGAAAATAAAATCATTAAATTCTGCATGTTACTCCATATGCAAAAAAAAAAAAAAAAACATCGAAAATACATCGAATAGCTTTTGGTAGTTTTGAAAGTATACAAAAATTTTATTAGATACTATAAAACAAGAACTACATTTTATTATGTTTTCGAAATATAAATATAAATTTTACATAGAATTTACTATTTTCGAAAATGCTTCTATCGAAAATTTAGTTTAATTCTGTCAAATAAATTATTGATAACAGACGAAAGTTTCACGTACTCGAGTATTTCTATAAACTCTAATTCTACTGTATTTCTAACTGTATTCTTCTGTTCATTTTAACTGTATTTCTATAAACTATTTTTGAATTAATCTCTATTCCATTTACATTCCTAATATTCATTTTGTAGTTTATGATACAGAAGCCGTTTAATGTGGATGAAATTTGTATTTGAACACGTATTTTTCACTTATTTAAATACACGTATATATATATATATATATATATATATATATATATATATATATTAATCATTAAATACTTGAAAAAATACATGTAAGAAGTTATAAAAAATATTAATATTAAATATTAAATTTAAAGAAATTATTAATGAAATGTCAGTAATAAATCTACTTATATCTAAGAAAATTTTAAAAGCAATATAATAATAAATATACGAATACTATTATGTATATATGTATTACTTTATTATCTCTGAGAACTTAATAAAATTAATTAAAGTACTTAATTAAGAAAATGATTTTATATTTAAAAGACAAGTTCATTGTAATAATTCACTTAAATTTACTTAAGCAACGATAATAATAAATTAAATTATAAATTATTAAAAGAAGTGATACAATGAAGTGATTAAAAGTATCAACAATTTTTCATAAAAATCAAGCCTATAAATGTATCGATAAACCATCAAAAATTTCGAATTCACAACCATTATTAAATAAATATAAGGTAGCATTTTGACATTATATGCTATTTGTAATAGTCATTTGTACAATAAAAACGAAGTTGTAAATTATAACAAAATGTAATTTAACAAATACATTATAACAGAATACAATTTTATATTTAAAATAATCATAGATCTTGGATTATGCAATAAAAAAATGAAAAATACTATTTAAAATAATGTATATTTAAGAGATCGCTAAGTGTAATAAATGTGTAGAAAATTAAAAAGTTACGATAATATTATTTGCTTCAATTATTTTTGTGTTTTCTCTGTGGAAACTGTTGTTATAATAAATATTTCACTATAAAAATAGCCCGTCAACAGACATTCTTCATTTTACATATATTAATTTTTCATTTATTGTCAATGTCAATAACATACTTTATTTCTTTTATTTTATTCAATATAAAAATGTAAACTATAATAACATCATGCAGCATTCAAAACAATTTTGTTTTCGTAAACAAAAAGTAATTAGGAATTCAGTAATAAATTATAATTTTTTTAATTTTGTCCATTGATTTGGAAGTCGACTTCAAATTTATGTACATCATAATATATATTTAAGCCCTGACATTTTCACATAATATAACCAGTACGACAGTGGAAAAGAAAAATAAATAGATAGAGCGATATAGACTACCGGTGTCCTCGTTTATGACGCATGTTATGCGCCGGTAACGATCGATGAACCGTTTCGGAGTGCGCCGGAAAGTACATTACTGCAAATAATCGAATAATAAAGATGATTACGACTACGCAAGAGAGGCAAAAAATAGATCGCGCTCTACCGATTTTGTTAATGAAACTATCGTAATAAAGTAAAATATTTCTTGTAAGCGTCCGCATATAATTCAGTATACCCGTTGATCGCAATAATCGTTTCATAAATAATTTTATATACTGATCAATTAATATGATATTAAAGACTGTTTATGTTTTCTACTGTTCAAAATTTGTATAATCATACATTATCAACGTTCTCTTTCTTATATTCATACATTTAATATTACTTATGACTTAAATATTAAGCTATATACATCTATAATATAGATACAACCGCTCATTATCGTATTCACCCACTTATATATGCTTGAAATTGTTAACCATTAAATAATTTACATTTATTTAATGATAAAAAATATATTGCAGGATTAAGTCACTAATTTATGTAACAGGAAAACTGACTAATATGTACTTGATAACTAAAACGAATAGTTGTAGTTTATTATATAATGTAATATAAAATAATACTATAAATAATATTATAAAAATATATAATCCCAAAAATAAAGATTTTAAAGTAAAATGCATAATATTGAAATAAAGCTTTGCACAATTACGTATTACTTGAAATATGTTACATTTACACCTTACTTATATATTTATACATAATTTCAATATTTATTTCAGAAACTTTATTCTTTATTAAATATATTTCATTATAAAATCAGATGATTCTATAAAATTTGTAAAACTAGATAATTATAAAGATTTTTACATTAAAACTAATTTAAGTAAATTCTTTTCGTATTTAGTTTTCAATTAAATACATTTGCTATGAATATGCAATAATATTTTGTATCAATTATTGAATAAAATTATATATATATATATATATATATATATATATATATATATAATACATTTTTAAAACAACCGATTTAATATAGTTGTTGGTACAGGATATATAAACTATATATATGAAAGTTGGATTAAGATTTAAATTTTTTTATCACAGATTTAGTAAAACAATTAGAAAAAGAGCATGAAAATTTAGGTCCTGAAGAAATAAAATAGTAAAATACATAAAGTTAATTTTTTATTTACGCAATTCATTTAATTAATATTGAATTAAAGTTTTCTTATCTACAGCTGTACAATATTTATTTCCATTCAAATAATATTTAAATTTGAAATATACTCTGTAGTAGTATTCCTAATTTAATTTTTCAAATTATTGTAGTCTGTGAGTGTTATAATATAATTTGCTTGAAGCTAATATTCTTCAATTTAATTTAACTATTATTTCCAATAAAATCTTATAATTCATTTATAAATGAAGTATGGTAAAATATCGAAAAAATAATAAAACTATATAAAATACATAATATTTAAAAAAATTTATTTATAAATATTTTAAAAATAAAACATTCAATTATTTTCATACAAAAATAAATTTTTTTTTTTTTTAAGTAAGGATGATTCACCATCTTTGACGGTAGAATAGAAATTGAATAAAAATTATAACTTTCATTATAGTTTTTTAATGGAGAATGTATTATCCATTTACATATGTGTGTGTGTGTGTGTGTGCGCGCGCGCGCGCATGTGTGCATGTAAGTACGTATAAGAAAAAAGGGAACATTCAAGTGTCCACTAAGTTGCCAAGCATGAGTTGGATCGATTGAAACTCAACAGAAACACGTAAAAAAACGCCAACGGAATAAGTAAACGTTGGAGAAAAATATATTGAGCATGAAAAATAAAAGAACATAAAACGAATAGGATGAAAGACTTTAATCTAATATTTAAAATATTACAAGGATTTTAGTTAGACTTATATTTTCCAATATTTTTTAAAAACTAATAATAAACATAGTGCTTTTAAAAGCAGAAAATAAAAAACCAATTCTTATTAAAAGTATAAAATATACAAAATTAAAGACAACACTATAAACAATATAAAAAATAGAAAATTATGATAATACATTTCAAAATTAATATTACGTAAAACTTCAAAAAGGGATTCAAGTTACTGTTCTTTAGTTTTTATTACTGTTGTTATTATTATTATTATTATATGCTTTTGATTGTACTGTATATTTAGACGTTATTAATTAATTAACCTTTAACAATTATATTATTTATACTAAATCGTTTTTTATATAAATAATGTATTTTTAAAAATAATTAATAAAATTAAATGAATAATATTTAAACGTTTAGATATTTCGTTGTGACAGTTCTTTTTATTCAAAGAATTTAACCTCAATATGTATTTTAAAGTATTCCATTTATATTCCATAATAGTTTGAAGTAAGTATATTCATAATAATAAATGAAAAATTAAATCTGTTAAATTGAATAAAGTCTTTTATTTATTAGCTTTAATAAGAATATTATATATAAATACAAGTATGTTTTATTATTGATGCTAATAAGTTTGAATATTTAGAATATATGTTCAAATCCTTATGCGAAAAAATTTTTCAGTTAATATTTCGAGATAATATGATACCATATAAAAAAAAAAAAAAAAAAAAACATTGTCAAAATCAATCCAATCAAATGCAAGTAATTATAACAAATTTAAGTATTATCTATAAAGCATTTATATTTCTTAGACATTTATATTAATATATTTTTATTATAAAACGTAATAATTTTATTTATAACCGACAGTGGTAGTGATTTCATTAATACCAAACATTTGATAAAATGATTTAGTATTTAAAAACTTTATATTTAATGATCATTTATTGCAATATAAAAAATTCAAATAATGATTATAGAAGATAGAAAATATTATATTTTATAATAAAATGGTCGTTAAGAAGATTCGCGGATTTATATAATTGAGTTAAAAAGCTCTTGGGAAAGAAAAAGAGCGTTAAGAAAAAAGTTTCTGAATACTACAGAGATTGAAAAAACTTTCAACGTTTAGTCTACAATAAACAAGTAATATATCCGAAATGAATTATAGCAATAGTAGAATATATTCACATACCTAAAATTATGAAATTTGAGAAAGTATTTCTTTTGAAAATAAACTTTAAATACAGACAAACGAAATAAATTATTCATATGTATCTATTTAATATAGTATGTTTTAATAATTTTGTTTAATAAATATTAAGTTATTGTTAGCATAAGAAAAGCAAAAATATACTCTTTTGTCATTACTAATAATAATTTGCATAGTCATATCAAATAGTACGAGTAGAAAAGTAGTATAAATATTCCGAATTATTATAATTAAGTCGATATAAAAACACACTATTATACATCATTGATATATTATGTACAAAAATACGAATTACATTCGGAAATTATTTTATAACAAGATTAAAGGTATATAACTTTTTCATACAATTTTTAATGCATATTCTTAAGCATATACAAATATTCCTTAATGAAAACATTACTTGAATTTGATCTTTAAAATAGTTTATTTTTTTAAAGAAAAGTACTTTGATTTTTAGAATTATTAAAAATTTATTTATATTTTGACTCTACACAGTAGTAATTGTAATAAAGAATGTCAATTTTTTTAACAATAAAAATAAAAAAACAAGTTAGGAAGATAGAGACAAGATTGAAGGATCGACTACTCATTGCAAAATATTGATTTATTAACTAATTATTTAATTATTAACTAATTCTCATTTATATTTTCATATAGAATTTCATTTTTAAAATCCAATGAAATTTTCAATCCAATTCAGTATTTTTTATGGGTATCCTGTTATTCGCCATATAATGATTTTGAGAATAAATAATAAGTATAATAACTACGGGTCTATTAGTAACATAAATATTTAAAATTCCATCTTATAATAAGTGCATAATTAATTTGAACGATGTAATAAATCATCTATGCATTAAGCAATAGTACCAAAAAAAAATTCAAAAACAACGATTAACAATCGTAATTAAAAATTTGGAATTGTAATGTGCTTTATTATTTTGCTTTTATTACAAATAAAGGATTAAGGAATAATTATCGTTGAATAAGACAAACTTTATTAATCCAATCTCATATTTTCTTTTCTCATGATGAAGGTACGAGCAGCTACGTATAAAGATCCTGGGAGATTGTTACTACTGCATAAGCGGTGCACCACAGGAGCGGCCTGATCATGCCGTACTATGCATCCATATGGGCCTGTCAATGGTCGAAGCAATTAAGTACGTACAGCAAACAACCAACAGTCCGGTTGACATGCGTGTCGGTATTCACACAGGCGCAGTGTTGGCTGGTGTATTAGGCCAACGTCAGTGGCAGTTCGATGTCTACAGCAAGGATGTCGAACTCGCTAATAAAATGGAAAGCAGCGGTAGAGCAGGGTGAGTATGTATAGGACTTTGTAAACATTCTGTATAAATGTGTCGATGTCAGTTTAAGAGAAAGATGGTCAGTTGTAAAAAAAATCCTATGCGTCCTCATTATTGCGACATATGCATAAATACATTTTATATTGTGTATTTGAGGTAAAATGTTCGTTTCAAGTGAATTAATACGAAGAAATGAATTAAAATTTTAAACTAATACATTTTTAAATGGAGCTGTAATCTAATAGAGAGAGAGAGAGAGAGAGAGAGAGAGAGAATAAAGGCAAATATTAAATCTACGTAATTATAAAAATGTTTAAAATGCTTATAATTAAATATGGAATATAAAAAATAAAGATTTGAGGCACGAAACTTATTTAAATAAAAAAATTTCATGAAATTATAATGATCAAATTAATACAAAATTATTAATTATAATACCAGAATATAAGGTAATCTACATATAAACATGTACATTATTAATACTATTATAGAGGAAAAATAGAATTATAATATATGCTTCGACACAATATTTTAATTAATGAAATCCTTTTAAAGTTCATACTCAAAACATTTGCAATGAAGTAAGTAAAATATAATGAGAAAAACATTAAAAAATTTTTAAAACATGCATCACGATATACGGATCTTTAAAAAGTACAGTAGAATGATACGTATAAATGAAACGAGAAAGATGAAGGGTAAAAATACGAAAATGGATCAAGTCCCAAGCATATGGCGTGACCTGATATATAAGTGTTCTTAAAAGTTGTTAGCTTTATTTCGTCCATTTTTTTATTATTGTTCGTCTTAAATTAAAATTTATTCAGCAATTTGTTTCACTTGGACAAACTTTACACTTATTTTTATATGATAAATTATTTTAAGTGTTTTAAGCTTATATTCTTATTTATATGCAATATTAATATATATATATATATATTTAAATAGGTACAATTATATTTCAAACAAACGGTAAATAGATTTTTATTACATATTAATTATAATATTGTCATTAATTGTAGGCGAGTGCATATTTCCAATGTAACTCTAAGCTTTTTAAGCGGTGAGTTTGAAGTTGAACCCGCTTATGGAGAAAAAAGAGAAGAGGCTCTACAGAAAGCTGGTATTACAACTTATTTTATTGTCAAGGCCCTTAAACCATTGAAACCGGCTTTAACAAAGAGTTTAGCGTCGCTGGCCGACGTTGGATACTCACAACGTGCTATTACTAATGTCGATGGGCAGCATAAAGAGGATTCGGAAGACTTTAGACAGAGATTGCGTAAGGAATTGGACAGTCGAGGTATGTAATATTTTCTTTCTATTTATTTACTAATTATTACTACTGTTTCGCTGGATATAAATAAAAAAAAATGCTTGTCGTGAAAAGCGAATACCTTGCAAGAAATTTAATAAATAATCACTCAAATGTTATACATAATTGCTTATATCGCGGAAGACAATGACTTGCTTAGAAATGTTGAATAATAAGTTTTGATGAGTCAGCTAATGCGTAATAGGAGATTTCGACGTAATTGAAAATGGAAGCGCCGAGTATGTAGAATCGGTGCAAGAGAAGAAGCAAAGAAGTTTCAAATTTTAGTCGCCAAAGTGCGATGAGTATGGTACAGTTGGCTGACAAAAGAATGGCCACGACAGAATTAAGACAAAAAAATTATGAAGAAAATGATGGATGGTTATTAGCTAAAACGAGACATTCGCATTTTGGTCAGCGTTATCGCACAGATTTTTTCAAATCTCAATGCACGCAGTTAAATATAAATAATGTGCAATACCTCGAATCTGCAATATCTCTTTGCTTAATGCTTCATTAAAAAAAAAATGTAAAGTAAAAAATTAAATGTATATGTGTATATGTATTAACTGACATATTCATACGTAATTTTCACATATGTAGCAATGTCATCTATTCTAATAAAATCTTATAAATTATAACATTATAGATTATTTTTATTTTCTTATTAAAAAATATATATTTAACTGTAATATTTCGTATAAGTTTTAATATATTTTGATATAATAAGTAATAGTAGGTAATAATATAAAATAACTAAATTTAGTATAAATTCTGGAAATCATTTTTTTCTCACAAACAGTTTATTCTCATTTTATCTCAATGTATCTTTAAAAATATCTATTTTTATGACAGACATTCGATATAATTGAAATAGATACAAATAATAGAATAATAACAGTTATGAGTAATTCATGAGTTGATTATATCAATATATATCGCTGTAAGGAAACAGCATAAACTATTATAAAACTATTATTTAAATTGTATAGTTACATAAAAAAAGTTGCATAAAAAAAATCAATTTAATCAAAACTCTTACGTATGTATCAATTATTCAGTTTCCTCGCTAATAATAATATGACGAATATCGTTTCATTCTGACACTGAAAATTCACTCTAAATGCTTTATCTATTTATTTGTATACATAAAGGGTTTTCTTACCGCTCAGATTCGAATGCAAATTATCTTTCACACGTCTCACTACAATACATTCGTAAAAGTAAAATATGACTCGATTATGTAGTAATTGATATTCCCTATAAATACATTTATTTAAATTTATATAAATATTATTTAAAATTATGGATTTTCCACTTTTCTTGCAATCGGAGGATTAATTTGTACTTTAATTGATCAATTAGTAGTAAGTAGTTGAAGCTATTGCAAGATTTTTAAATCATTATCAGAATTCGCTCTACTGCTTTAGTAAATATAAAATTATCTTTTATTATTAGCACCTTCCAATAAAATTTTAGATTATGTTTCATTTGATATTTTACCATTGAAACTTGGATAATTACAATTAAATGCGTTGCCTTTATATGTCGTCGTGTAGTTTTTGTATTTTTAGTTATTTCAAGATGCTTCAATTTATGTTTATACAATTGTTATAATTTACAGAATAACATATTATAGCTTATTAAAAGTTAAAAATCATATATTTAAATATATAAAATTATTGTTTTAAATCTTCTTTGTATCGTTTCTTTATAAACATCGCTAAACCAAGGGAATATTTTATACTATTGCAATACTTAAGAAAATCACTTAAAAAATAGGTTTGGTAAAATTCTTTCATTAGCAATTTTTTTTAGGTTTAGTGATATATTACGTAATATGTAAAGAATATAATTTAAATAGCATTTTTTTATTCATAAATTAAAATTTAATAAATTATTAATTCATAACAGAACAGTGGATATTAGAAATGAAATTTTTATTTTCATTATTGTAATCTCATGTTCTTAATATAAAATTGAATAGATACATATCCAATTTTTAATTTATGATGTGCCATTTATAATTATTAGAAATTGCTTGTGTGCTGATTATAAAAACATGTCTTTGAAAGATTAAAAATCAAATCTCAATTTATTCACTATTACCTTTTCTAAAACTATATAGTAAATATTTGTCTTTCACATATATTATTGCTTATTACCTTGACTTTAATATATTCAGCAAAAAATACAGGCACTCCAATACTAATTAATTTTTTCATAAACCATATATCTGAGTAAAATAATTTATAATAAATAATAGTTTGTTTACTGCTTCTTTCATCTGCTGTTACTATTATCAGTTGCCAATAATTAAATTATACGATGACACAATTATAATTTAAAACATTTATATTTGCTAGGAAAGTGTAAGGAAATAATCTTAAGATATTATAACTTCGAAAATTAACGAATCCCTTACGTTCGCGGTTTTCAATTTTTATATCGTATTATGATAATCGAGCTATGGAAGATTGACCGACTCTTTTATGTTTATAATTTACAACAAATGGAGCTAAAATACAACGTACGTAAAAATTGTATTAATCGTGGTTAGTTTGATTAATAATTGATATACTAAATATCTCTATCGAGTTCAATCTCAAGTTTACTCAGCTCACTAATAGCTCTTTCATTTGAATTCAACGATCAGTATTTAATAACTTTGTGAAATTTCATTTTATTTATCATTTTATTTTATCTGTTATGTACTTTTCTTGAGTCATTAAAAATATGAATGCTATTTAAAAACTTATATTAATAAATTAAAAGTAATATTATTATACGTTAGATAGCTACAATATTAAAATGAATTTGATAAGGATTTATTTTATCATTTTGAAATCTTATCAATAAATTTTATTATTGCTTAAAACTCAATAATTATTTTATATAATTTATATTATTATATTATTACATTATATATATTTATAAATATATATTAACATAATTATATTATTATTCATATTTATAATTATCAATTGCTTGTGCTAACAAAGTCTCAGTGTTCAATGCAAAATATACGTGAAAGTGTAATTAATTTGCAGTGGGTGGAGGAGCCGAACTAAAAGGTCAAGCATCCTGGTTAACCCTGGCGTTTAAGGATCCGACGTTAGAAAAGGCCTTCCATAGCGCAGAAGAAGCGTTCTCGCCATTATCATTGCTCGGTGGGCCATTAGTAATGATATGCGCTTCGCCAGTTTGGCGTCTCCAACCCTGGGGTCCGTTCACTTGGGGCGGAGCTGGAGTTGTCACGCTTTTTGGAGTTGTCCTGGCCGGAGCGACGTGCCTCGGCAGCGCCGTACGTGCTAGGTGGCTTAGACGAACCCTCGCTCTGCTCATGATCTTTTCCATGAGCGTGTTTCTCCTACTGGACATGGTGATTTCATTATATAAAGCATTTATTCGGCTTTTACTTTCGATGTTTATTATAATCATTTAGCAGTAGGTGATATGTTGTGTAGGTACAAGGCAGGACAAATTTCCAATATATAATGGAAATATGAACCACAAAGCTTTCATAATAATTAATTAATGGCTTCTAAAAGTACATCGATTCATTAATTATAAAACTGTATCAATTTATAAAAAGTTAATGGATAATTATTGATTTGATTTTGTTGCATACGACAGAAATTTCTTAATTCTTAATTCATCGAGCACTCAAAAAGGCCAATTTTTTTTTTAACGTTGAAGGATCTTTTAATTCCATAATATTTAAAAACATTTTTTGAAGTTATATTTAATGAAAGTTCTTCAGATATTAAAGGTTATTGTGCATATTGTGATTTGCAGGCTAATTGCGGTATAATCGACGATTTGGACTTGCCAACGAACGCTTCAGTGAGCTGGTCGCCCCGCTGTCCTTATCCTTCGTATTACTCTTACGTTGGCGTACTCGCCCTCGTTGTTATTTCCATGCCCGTCTACATCTGCTATCTCGGCAAAGCTTTCCTCATGTTCGTGTTAGCGGGAGCTCAGTGCACCGTCAACGTTCTGTTCCTCGGCTCGACTCTCGACCGCGAGGACTTGGCCTCCATCTCACCTGGTCAAAATATCTTTCACCTTAAGTATTCATTATCGGCGACTCTGCTAACGATAGCTGTTGCGCTTGTCGTTGTTGCCAGATACGTAAGTTTCCCCCGCCTCCGCCCCCCCCCCCCCAAAAAAAAACCCCCCAACCACCCGCCCACTTTTCCCTTCCAATTATAAATGTTTTTGAAAATATAATACATAGCTGTAGTGTAATGTGCAACATTTACACTGTCTTTGATAAATCGAATCTATTACACACGAAAGACGTAAAATGTGATAAGTGACTTTAGTTTATCCATAGTACATTCTAATGATAACGTAAAATACTGATTAAATTCATTAGAGAGGAATAAAGTCAGTTCGAGTATTGAGGAAAGATTAAAAGTATATCAACTTTTGAATTCGAAAACATTACATTACTTAATATTATAATGAATAAATATATAATTATTATCGTTTCACTATCCAAAATCACGGTAAAATGTACGGAAATAGAAATATCTCCAATATTACTTAATCAAGTGTAATCACATTTTCATAAAATTCCTTCACGAATAAAGGGGTCAATCTATAATCTAAAAATTCATTCAGGTAAGATAAAGCTTGTATTTATAAAGAAACTCCGAACTAAAATAAATTTTAAACAAAATTTTTAGACTTTATTTAAAGATACTTGTACAGTAGGTTGTAGTACTTAGTCGAATTGACCATTTTGCCAGATACTAAACAGAGACAATGCATTTATAAATTTATAAATAAAAGTTTAATAGATTCTATTTAACAGTAATACTATAATAGTTTTTAATTATCCCTCTAATAGTAATAAATTTCATTAAAAGAATCTTATTAATTCTCAAAGAAACAATTAAAAATTTGCACTGATAAATATAAAAATTACATTTACATGAGAAATAAAAATTCTTAAATTACTTTAGAATAATATGAAATACTATAAATATATGTATATATAATAAATATATGTATATAATAAACGTGTAACATAAAAGTTTCTTATATTCTATTTTTATTTTAATAGAATATATTAAAAATAATTTTTAAATGATAATATATTCATACGCTACAAAACAAAGGCTTCTATTACAGAAATTATAGTTTTATTCCATTTCTGGTCACATTATTTTTTGTTGAAATTGACGCTGAAAGATTGAATATTTTTATAAAATTCTAATACATATACAGAATAGTAAGAATTTTCTTTAAACAGTCGAATACATTTCTGAATATTTATGAGCATATTAATATTAAATAACATAGAACTAAACATACATATTTTATTATATGTACATATATACATATTTTATTTAACATTGATTAAATATTGTATATATTTAAAAATATAGTTTTCATGGCTGTATCGTATTATGGTGAAAGGCTCGAATTTATATTATACCGAATGAAAAAAAAATCATTTAAATAATCATTTAATAAAAGAAGAAAGGATCAGATATTAAGCTAATAGATACTACACTATTCATCAATTCTATGTCAAGTATGTCCGAGAAGAGTAAATTTACAATCTTATTTTGAAGTTTACTATATCCTGAGATTGGCTTTTAATTTAATGGATAGCTAGATGGCTTTTATAATTTCATACCTCTCTCTCTCTCTCTCTCTCTCTCTCTCTTTACTTATCAATATGTATTCATAGCCTGTCCCCTTTTTCTTCCTTTATCCCAGGATTTTCTCTTGTTTATTCGTTAATGTTGAACTTTATTTACAAAGATATCGTATTTTGAGAAAGGGCCCAAGCATTGACGTAAACTACTTGTATCCGTGAATAATCCTAATTGAGTCGACGGTTTTCAAATCCATGTAGAAAGCATCGCACAAATTATGTTAGTATAGTTGTAATTTTATGTATCACAGACAATCATGTATACGGTTATAATAGTGTATAAAATATTTACTGAAACGAATGAGGAAAGATTTAAAAATGATTTAATTATTTAGATATTCAGGGCTTACATTAATTATTTATTGCATTGGAGCACCATAATTCTAAAATATAAGAAGTAAAACATAATGAAAAATCCTTAGCTTAGTTGGTATTATTACAAAAATGAAATAATTACTAATAGTATAAGTATTTTTAATTCTTATACATTTTAAAAGTATATAATCTACTATCGAAAACATTCTTTTTTTCCCAAATTCCCAACATTAAATATTATAACTTGATTTAATTGATTTAATTTGAAGTATCTATTCATAATTACTATTATTTTATAATTATAAACTTCTTTTGTAAGTTTGTCTTTTCTTCTTATTATCTTATATTATTGTATTGTATTTATTTTAATTTATAAATATCTATGACCTAAACAAATGAAAATTTAACAGACATTTTATAACGATAAATGTGGGTATTTTAACGAATAAAACAAAACGATGAAGTATTTATTCAGAAAAATTAAACTCAATTTGAACAATTGTGTTTATTTTGATTGTTATTATTATTATTATTATTATTATTATTATTATTATTATTATTATTATTATTATTATTATTATTATTATTATTATTATTAATATTATTATTGTTATTTTTGTTATTGTTGTTGATGTTAATGATGTTGTAGTTATTGTTGTAATATCTATTTAAATATTTTATGTAAGAATTATGATCTTATAAATGTTGTTTAATATACATCACAGGATTTTTTTTTGTTTTTACCTAATTGTATATTTTTAAAACAACTTACATAATTATAATAAGATTTATACATAATCATATTTTATGTAATTGATATACACGATATATGAATTATATGTACAATGCACATATATATGTACAAATCAACAATAGCATATATATATATATATATATATATATATATATATGATAATTTATAATAGAAAGTGTAATGAACATTATACCTTTTTATATTGATAAGTTCCGAACTTGATGATAAATATTTATAAAATCGAAGAAGGCTATTACAATTACACATGCTAGTTTGACATTCTTTGTTAAATCCAAGAGGAGTCTTATATTTCTCATGCTCACTTTTTTACTATGTTCTTAATGAAAAATTTGTTAATATAAGCCAATATTAAAATTCTATGTTTTATTACCAATTAAAAAGATAAATATCAGTAAATGTAAGATAATAAATACTGCAATAAAATATATCAATAATATAATTTATTAAAAATTCAAGACAATTTTTATGAAAAATAGAAATTTATTAAAATTTACGTATAATCCAATATAATTGTTTATAAACCAAAATATATTCTATTATATAATATCCATATTGTAATAAATAAAATAAATTATAAAATTATATTATTCATTATTTGAGTTCTAGTGCAGAATGAAGAAGTAAAAAATTATTCTACTTGAATAGGAAGTGCAATAATACTTATAAGGACAATAATTTATGGGATAATTTAATAATAATTTATGAGCGTACATTGCATATACTGCATAATTTAAGAATGTTTTGATTTAAAAATATATTTCTATATATTGAAGTAAAGTCATTATCCTAAACTCTAAAAGAGTAATGCTTATAAATACAAAACATTCATATATATAAGATTTATTTAAACTATATTTAACTTATTATTTGAGTTTTTAAAATGTACAGACGGAGAAGGCGCGACGAGTTCTGTACCTACGGGGCTGCGAAGTGGAGGCTCAACGGGAAAGAGCAGCGGACATGAAGCGAAGAAACGGCGCTTTGATATATAATATCCTGCCGCCTCACGTGGCGGCTTACTTTCTATCTAATACGCGCCATCACGATGATTTGTACAGTCAAAGTTACGCGGAAGTCGGTGTGCTTTTCGCGAGTATGCCCAACTTTGCTGATTTCTACAGCGAGGAGAGTATCAATAATCAAGGTCTCGAGTGTCTTAGGTTCCTCAACGAGGTCATCTCTGACTTCGATGCCGTGAGTATTTTTATTCCTACACTTATTCTTATACTTATTCTATTGTCATAGCTGTTAAAATATACTTAAAAATCAGTGTAATTTTATTGGACACATGAAAATTTGAAGTAAATGAATTTAGTCATTGATTAACGTTTATGTTTCATGTATTTGAAAAGCCATTTAAATACTCGACAATTTTAAGCTTATGAGTTACCATTCAAACAGATTTTGGATCAAGAGAAGTATAAAGATATCATAAAAATTAAGACAATAGGCTCGACTTATATGGCCGCTTCCGGTATAACTGAATCGGCTGAAAGCGCAAATGAACCACAATGGCAACATCTATCAAGGCTAGTTGAGTTCTCATTGGAAATGAAAAAGGCATTGTCAAATATTAATGAGCAGAGCTTCAATCATTTTGTCCTTAAGATGGGTATAAATCATGGTCCGGTGACAGCGGGTGTCATTGGTGCTCGAAAACCCCACTATGATATTTGGGGTAACACGGTGAATGTGGCTTCACGAATGGAAAGCACAGGAAAAGTTGGATGCTTACAGGTAACATTGATAGTAATGTTATTTCCATTTATTGTTTAATTATTTACAATTGACACGTGACATTTATAGAGGTTATTATTGTGTCTTATTTAAATTATATGCCGTTAGTGATTTTCATATGATAATAAGTCATTTTTCATAATTATAAAATATTATAATGAATTAAGTTTAATTAAAGCTTAAATCGATTGTTTTCTGTAGTTAATAAGAAAAAGGGAGTAAGAACCAGTTATTAAATTAATTTTTAAAAATTATAAAAATAAATAGATGTCAAAACAATTTTCATTTTTATAAAACTTCAAAACACGCAGTGTTTATTTATTTATTCATTAGATATTGATTGTACGTGTATCTAGATAGTTTATATTTACACATAATTAGTCAATATTATAGGTCAAATGCTCGAAAGTAGTTAATAGATTAAAAAATTTTCTCATTTTTGTTATTTAATTGGTGATTTTATCAGAAAATAAAAAAGATAAAAAATTAATAGTTAATATAATTAACTATTAACTACTATTTATTAACTATTTATTAATGCATGGTCTTTCGAGATATAAATTACAAATAATTATAACGTGGAAATATAGTAAAAAGTATTAAATAATATTAATAATTGAATGCCAAGCAATATAGTGTAAAAATTTATATTTCAATTTCTTCAATACATTATTCTATAATTATATATTATATAATTATATTCAATACTCATATATATTTGTAATTTTTCGTTTAGAACAATATCTTTTAATAAAAATAATGACTCTATTCTCTTTCGATTAAATTTTTCTAGGTAACCGATGAAACCCGGAAGATTCTCGAGCCGTTTGGATATGGATTTGAGCAACGTGGAATGGTTTTCGTGAAGGGCAAGGGTCAATTGCTTACACATTATTTAATCACCAAGGATGGTGTACATTTAAAACTCGATAGCGACTTACCCGTTGAACCCACACATCCAATAATTTATCAATAAACTAATTCGAATAGTAAATAAATAATAGTATGAATGAACCAAGTTCTGATAATAAAAATGTAAAGTGTTAGGAAATTCTAGGGGAAAAAATAAACAGTAGATATTCATTAAAGTATCTAGCTGTCAATTAAAATGAAATAAGTACATGTATTAAAATGCACTTACATACATGTATAGTAGCTGATAAAAATTCGAAGTCTTTAAGAGTTTCAACGCGCAAATGCATTGCCATATAAAACTAATAAAGCCGAGAACTCAACAAATATCACCATGCATGTATGCAACCGTACACATAGATACTGATTTACAATATTAATAGACACAAATACTCATAAATTTTAATACAATTTAAGTGTGAAAACTTTTTCCTTCTTCAACGCGTGTCTATTATTTTATTATAGTATCGACAATGTAAAAAGTTATAAATGTACATATACAGATATCTAGGCAAAAAACATGAAAAAAAAAAAAAAAAAAAAAAAAAAAAAAAAGATAAAGTCATAGCTTTGTCTCTTTTATGTACAGAAGTTCTATATCGCACACTAGGATTATAATCTTAAAGATTTTTCAGATCTCTGATGTGTTTATGCTACTTCTGTTTATTAAATAAATCAAATAAATTTAAATATAAAAGAACTAACGAAAAATAATTCACGGAAACGAACTGTAATATCGTAATATTGCTTGAAACAAATTATAATTTAGTAAACCTTTTATTATAATTACAAATGAAAAATATGTATGTATATATATATATCTACATATATACACGAACACAGGCATGGTTATCATATATAAATAAAACAAATATGTATTTTATTTCATTAGTTAAGGATAAATAAATTTATAGCATTGATGCTAATACATATTCTTTAGATTATCAAATTTTTAATTTACTTATTAGAAAAGTAAAGAAAAATTATTTATAATATATAAAAGAAATATTAGAAAAGTACATGTTGTCTAACTTTTCAATTTACGAATTAAGAATGAAGAAGCAAACGAAAATATTGATTGGAATCGAACATATACGAATTAGCAAATTCTAATTCAGATAAATATATTTTATAGCTTTTAGGCAATGCAACGATTTCAAACTTTGCCTATCTAATATATATTTTAAAAATAAATATTAATACCAGGGTATTTTTAAAAAATGTTGAAAAATCAGCAAACTTTTATAATAACTTATCTTGTATTATCTCATATTTAACTTCTTACATAGAAAAAAAATGATTTATTATATATTAATTTTTCTAGAATTACCACAGTAAATAAAAACCAAAAATGAAATAAAATGAAATATTTATTGTAAACAAATCCAAATATATTTATATATGTGAAACTTATTTTAAAATATTTCATTTTAACATTTTACTTTTACATTTTAATAACACGATATTTTATAAATGGATACATAATTTACGTTATATAAAATTCATTATGAAGAAGAGTAATTGTGAGTCAAGTGAATTAAAGTATCAATCATATTTTCTTCTAAGATTATGTTTAAATATATAAAAATATTGTTTGAACGATTTTTTAATTATGATTTTCATGCAATCTTTACTAATAATTTTTGTCTTATTTACAAAGATTAATAGGGAATAAAAATAAAATTTATTACATATTCGTTATTATTTAATATGAAAAGAATAAAATGTCGGCAAAATTAATAAATACTTGTTAACTTAAAATAAATATATGCCTTTGTCCAAACTCGAGTAATTCTGTTAAAAAAAAAATCATTAAAACAAACCTTTTTACAAATATACTATAAAAAAATGTTTAAATAAAGACAAATATGTAAACATTGAATGAATACACAATCTAATAGTATAATAGGAGTTTAAAATTTTTTTTTTTTTTTTATTATTTTTATTTATTTTATATTATAAATAACATGAATTAACAGATAAATTTAGATAATTTAAATTATGAATGCACTGGTTATTTTTAATGAACTAATTATATCTATATTATTATTTAATTTAAAAATTGAGTGTAATTAATGATAATATTATGTTATGTTTTATTATTAATGATAACTATTATATGAAACTGAAACAAGAAATTAATAGACATTCATTAATTCTTTTCAAATAGAATGTGCAATATGTACGAATCTAAAATAAATAATGTAATAAAATTTATTTCTTAATAATTATTAAAACAATTAATTCTTAATGAAACTTTATAATGAAACTTTTTATTTTAATTCTTATATTATGTATGATAATTCAAAGATATGAATTCATTAAACCGAAAATAGTTTAATATTGTTATACATAATACTCTGCTTCAAATTGTAATAGATATTACAGAATGGAATCATTCATTTTGAATAATTTTTTCCTCTTTTTGATGAAAATGATAGCTGTTATGTGTTTATAAATTGTAAATGTAATTGTAAATTACTAATTTTTAATTTAATGACAGGAAATTTTTAATAAATTTTTTGATGAAATGAAATGAAAATATAATGAACTACACAGAAAGGAATAATAAATGAAAATTTTTAATGAAATATAAATTTAAAGTTTTATTATATTAGAAAAATTTATTTACAAAAATCAATTTTTAATCTAGATTTGTAATTTCTTATACTAAAATTATTATTGTATAGTATTTGACAAAATAAGTCTCTTTTATTTTAGATAATAGTACAAATTAGGAATTTATATATCTGTAAGATATTTTACAGGAAATAAAATCATCTTATTCAAAGTAAATTAAGCATAATTTTTATAGAAATTAAAATATTCATTAATTTCTTTCTCATTACATTTCTAATTGATTAAATAATCGTTATATATAATTCATATGTAATTTCATATATAAGTTAATTAACTTATTTATCGTTTTATAATTATAGTATTTAATGACTTTGTGATCGTATATGTATAACAAATTTATTGATTTTTTTAAACTTTATTTTTTACACAACAAATTATTATCTCATTAGAGAAAATACTTATGAAATCTATTTAAATCGAGGTTTTAAAATTATTAATAAATGTTTATACTTCAAATTAAATTAAATTTAAATGTTTCTATAAATAAAAATAAAACTTTATTTTCATATAATATATTTTAATAATATAAACTATTTATAAGTTTGTTTAATTTAAATAGATATCATAGATTAAATAGATATAAGAAGAAATTATGTAATGAAATAATTTAACGAATTCTACATCTTTACAAATGTAAATTATATTTAAAAAAGAAAAAAAAATGTATACAAACAATATAATTTCTAAATATATAAAATATATAAAATATCTAATATATAAAATTTTAACACATAATGAAGCAATAATTAAATTCATATGAAAAAGCAAACCCAAAATTTCGTAAACAATAAACTTTGGAACTAAGACATGTTAGCAATTATTTAAGATTAAAATTTTGATGTAAAAAATAATTAAAAATGAATTATAAATTAGAATAAAAGATAAAACAAATAAATTGTATAATAATAAGAATAACAATATGACAAAAGGTTAATTTTAACAAAATACTAATTATTTAAGTACATTAAAAATTTAATTTGAATATATACATAAATTAATAATGATATGTAGTTTGATTGTAAAGAACATTATTTGTTTTTTTTTATCTATACATACATACAGTAAGATGCATAATGAAAAATAATTATTGATTGGATCGTTTAATTGTAATGAAAATTTTCTTTAAGGGAACAGCAAACCATGTCTTTTGTAAGGAATAACATCATTATATAAGTCGAATGAAGTATAATAAAATGCTAATAAAAGCATAATACATGATTATGTTACAAAATTAAAGTAAATTATGTTCACAATTATAAATGTTTAAATGAAATTTAAAAATCCGAATGTTTCACTATATAGATAAATGTTAATATAAATAGTAATGACATTTTTGTTTTTATAAATGATAATAAATGCATTAATTATTTTATTGTAATAATAAATCCTAATTTAACTGTAAAATGAAAAAAATTCTGCTGGTCAGTCATTTTTAATATTTTAATTTTAAATAGAAAAAGCTTTTCCTATTTATTAAATAAATTTTTAAATATCAATGAAATTTTCTTGGCTATTTGTTTAAATATCACATATATACTATTGTTATAACTAGAGCAATGATAGATATACATAATTATATTATAGATATTATAAATAGATTACTAATAGGTAGATATTAAATACTAATTTTTCAATATTTAAAATTCTATAAGTAATGTTTTTAAAACATACTTGTTTGTAAATTATTTTTGTATTCAAATTTAGAAATTACTTTATTCAAAGTTACATGTATACTTGATATCTTGCATTAAAAATTATATTTTATAGTATTTTCGTAATTTTTTTATATCGTACGTCGATCAACATTTTTATAAGTAGTCAAGTGCGAAAGAAGAAATAAATGTTACGATTGAATCGTCTCAATTTGAATTTATATTTTGTAACGTCATCGTTATAAATATCATTGATTGTTGTCTAGAAATTCGTATGTATAAATTTTTGACATAATTATTGTCAGAATTTTTATACACATCAATTTTATGGAACGAAGATAAGTATTTAAGTTGTAAAGAACTGAAAAGTGATTAGAATATTCTCAAATTAATGGCCTACTTTGTACATAAAAAATTACTTATTATATTATTTTGTTTATTTCACATTACGTATTTATTTTACTTACATTTAAATAATCAATACTTAAATATAAAGTATTAATTGCCTTAAATATCTTTAAAAATTATTTAAATTATGTCAAAAAATAATAAATGGAATCAATTATTCAATTCAATTATTTCAAAATCTAATTAAACCATTTATTTCTTTTTGAAAAATATTATTCTAATCACAAAAAAGTTAAAGCAAAAAGTAAATAAATAATATCGTTAGTTATTCTTGTCTGTTTTTGAATTTTAGTTATTATATTGTGAATAGAATATGAATTTAAAGGATGTGGTCTAAAAAATAAATGAAAGAAAACAATACTTAAGTTTTTCATCTATGAATGATTTAATAATTATTGAATTATTAAATTAGTTTTAATATCTTTATTAACTATTAATTTAATGGTTCCTTACATTGTATTATTAAAAAATTTAAATTCCCATAATGTTATATTATGAATATCGATTATGATTACTGTATAAATTTTTATGTGAACTGTATTCTGTAATATTTAAATAAATTTTCGATGTAATTAATAGATTTTTTGATAAAGTTAATAATAATAATTCTTTACAAATGTCTGTCTTTTTATTTCTTATAATAATAATTGTGATAATTTTATATTTAATTGATCTCAAAATAGTGTTATATATTGCATAAAATTGATTTTAAATAATAATATAATATAATATTAAAAAATAAATACAATTATATTCATAGTATGAATTTGTTTTTCATGATTTGCATATGATTTCATATGATTTTCGTAAGACATAAATAGTACAAATATATAATTAACTTTATCATAGATTTATGGATTAAGGTAAATATTAATATGTTTTTTTTTCAATATGATTTTAAAATAAATTTGTAATTGAACACTAAGTTATAGATTAATTTATATATTTTCTGAATTAAAATTCAATAAAGAACAATTAATAAAAAAGCTTTATACAGATGGTCATAACTACATAGTTCTTTGTAGTAAGCAATAAACAAAAGTGTTATAAATGCACATAATAAGAATTAAACAAATGGAATAATAATTATGACTTCAGTGAAGAATGTAACGAAATAACTAAAATTAAAATAAAAATGATTAAAAAATCTAAATAACATACGATAAATTTGGTCTTCTGAAGTCTGTATAAATTTATATGTGGTATAATTAAAGTATCAAACAAATATATTTGAATATAAATTAAAAATAAAATAATAAGAAAATATAAGATTGTAGAAATTATGATAAAAAATAACAAATTGTGTTGTTGAAAACATTTGCATGTACGCATACTGCGAAATAAAATATCACTGTAGATATCTTAGCACTTAAAACATGATATTAAATATATATATGTGTATATATATATATATATATATATATCATACATATATATGGATATAAGTGGGAACAAGTTGTAATTTAGTTTCTTGACGAACATTAAAGAAGAAGGAAAACGAGCGAATGAGTATTAATATACAAATTAAAGTCAGATAGTGATAAACAAAACTCATGTTAAATTGTAGGACAAATCAATATATTTAGGTAAAATAATAATAATATTATCTAAATAAGTATATTATGAATGGAAAGCGTATATAAACCCGATGAAGATATCTTGATAATGAATTGTCCTTGATATCTGTAACTTCTCAAAATAATCGAGTTTTTATTCATTGTTAATATTAGATAATAAATACAACTTTTCAATGGCCATTAACTTGTATGTTTTTTCATTATGTGTTGATAGCTTATATAAACTTTTTCAAATATAAGATATTACTTTACTTAAAACTACTTTAAAAACTGCTTATTTCATTAAATAGAATGGCAGCCTTAAAATCTATAAAAGAAATATATGAATTTTTTCATTATTCAAACTTAATTGCAATTAATAAAAAATTTATTATTAATGTAAATATTACTATTGAAAGGATACTTATTTCATGTAAATAAAATACTTGAGTTGAATAAAATTAATTTTATTATTGAAATACAGTATAAAGATAATGATGAAGTATATAGAGTATACTCGAGTACACTGAAAATAGAGTACTATCTTTTATATTTGTTCATAAAAGAATTAAATATAAATAAAAAACTTTTTAAATTGAAAAACTTTAAAAGCTTGAGAATACTTTTCAATGAAAATATATAATATTCTATATGATTTAATAATTTTATGAAGACGTTATTATTCACAATAAAAAAGTTTTTTATTTATTATGCAATACAACTCAATGAAACATTCGCCAAGCATAAACACTATTGAAATATTCAATTTCTATAGATTATCTTTTTTATTCGCATTATCGACACGCGAGAAAAACCATCTAGCATTTTAAATAATATATTTAATTGAATTATATTAAATCATTGTTGCTTATACTTAATGTTGCAAAAATGATTTAAATAACTTGTATAATGTAAATAATTTATATAAAATAAATTATAAAGATTTTTAATTTATAGTTGATAAATAAATTAAAATTTTTTAATTGAACACACACACACACGCACACGCACGCACGCACGCACGCACGCACACACACACACACATATATATATGAAAAATAAGACGATATTGATATTTTTAATATAACTTTCAAAATTCTACAATCTTTATAGATTAAAATTAAAATAAATATGATCGGTATTCTTATATTACTATTATTAGTTTGTTTTTTTTTTTCATTTTTATTTAATTTATTTCTATCTAATTGAATGTATGAAGTTTTCAATTCCAAAATCCAATAATAACTACCGTATTCAGTCTAACATACATTAATTCCTTATTTCTAAAAAAGGTAGAAAATCATAAGGTTTCACTTAGTCAGAGAATATGCTTTCTCCGAGTCAAAAAGCACATATTAGAGTAGAAAGATCTGGCAGAGATTTAAATTTACTTTTATAGTACACATCAACAGACTTATATTACGAAGTGTTTATTAAAAATATTTGTAGTCAATATTATTATTATGATTTTCTGAGAATGTTATATGTATCTGATTACAATTTTTGAATGAATTGAATCATCAATTTCTTATAAAACGCATAAACTCTTATTATTCTAATTACATGACATGCAATGTAAATTTCATGAATATTGCATTAAATCATTGTCGGTTTACACAAAAACGAGGCTCATTTTTAGACAATAACATGTCAGTTTATGTAAAATAATTTTCTATTATGATATTGTTTGCGTGATTATTTATTATAAATTAATTTATAAAAAATATATAACTATTTGCTTTCTAAAGTTTTTTAAACCTAAATATTAACTTATGTCATCATTATTACATTTCATTTATTTTCTTGAAGAAAACCATATTAAAATCTGAAAATATATTTTGTAGTTGACATTGTTTTTAATTTAGAAATAATATATAAAAATGATATCGTAACTTATTTGTGTTAAATAATGATTATTCATTGTATTTGTATGTAATTGTATTACCAAAGATATTTCTGTACATAAGTAATCGACTATTTTGATTTAGTCATATCTGATATTCGTAGATTTATAAATAACATATCTTTCTTGCATAGAAAGTAAATTTAAATTTGTTAACTTGAACACTATAAGAAAAATTGTATTTTTCTCAAATTAATGCATTGATTGAAATGCATTGAGATAATTACTTAATTTTGTAAAAGTAACGAGTAATTTACAAAAATTTTGATTATTTACAATAAGATTTATAATATTAGGTTTTATTAATTTTAATCGAACTTGGTAAGCGTAACAAAAGTGCTCGATGATATGCACATATTTCATAGAATATAAAATAAATATATATTGAATCCGTATAAAACAATGATTAATTAAGATGACAATTTCAAACTTCAGATAGAATAAATTGACTAACTTTTTTTTCTTTTTTCTTTTAATTGTGATCCATAAAGCTAGTCATACAACATAAAACAAATTATTCATATTTATTGAAAACATTGTTTTCTTTTAAGACTCTAGCAATATATTCATATGAAAAACTGTACAAACAATCATCAATATTTCTGGATCATAATTTAGTTGCTATGGAAAAGCACTGACATTCCCAAATTGTGTGTGTGTGTGTGTGTGTGTGTGTGTGTGTGTGTGTGTTGTGTTTTGTGTATGTGCGTGCGTGTGTAAATAATAAAAATGAAATTTAGTCTTTGACTACGTATGGATTTTAGAAATTTGCCGATTTAATAATAAAAGCCACGTTTAATGGTATTAATGGCCATTAGTATTATCGATTATACTATCATTGGTACCGGATGAACCATTATCCACCAAGAGCATGTTTTGGTGAAGGTTTCCACTTGTCGGTACCAACAGCAATCCTCACGTGCGCACAAACTTGTACACTACACCAAAAACGAGGACACTCACGAGCACGAGAACTAGGGCGGTGATGATTTTGGCGAAGGCATTCATGCCGCTTTCGCCATGTTGCTGCGACTGACGAGACCTGGACTGAATGCCATTCTGTTTCAAGGCGAGGCCACGAGCCAAGCCCGGGAAGGCTAAGCTCTGGGTAAAAGTTAGCTTGTGCAGAGACTCGGAAAGGGAATACGGGCCAACGGAACCACGGGCGGCCGCCCTGAGCAGAGCATACTCAAGGTCCAGAGCGTCGAACATGCTGTATCTGAGGAGGATGGAGAGAATAAGGTATGAAAATGTTATTCTTCAACAATTTTTTTATTTATTTTCAATTAACATGCCCATTTACAATATTTTCAATAAGTCCAAAGTCTGTTGAGTAAATTAAAAGCTCATTTTTGTTTAAGCTTAAGGTATCGAACATTATCACTTAATATTTAAAAAAGATTCGTCGTGAACATGCATAAGAAATTATAGGGCTACTATTTATAACAATTTTAATTGACTTATAAATATATAGTCGCAATTACTTGAAAAAAATCAATATGATGTATACTTTTTTTTTAACTTTTACATTTTCAATATTATATTACTATAAATGTATAAAGACAAATTCTACATTGTTAATATATAAAAATAAAAAAAGTATTAAATCTTATAAAATAAAATTGATCAGATTCAAAAACTCGAGCCTTTGTTAATTCGAACATCATAACACGAACAAAAACTACTTATACAAATTTATTGTTATGTATAATTCGTAAATATATGTTTAAATATTTATTTAGTATTTTTATCATTAATATTATTTTACTAGTATAGCGTAGAGTATTTATAATTGCCACAATACTTTTTATATATGTATATATATATATATATATATATTTCTTTTTTTTTATATGTTATTTTTACTCTGGTAACATTAATTTACTGAAATGTAAGATAAGATTTAGTTTATTTTTATAATAAATGATTATAATACTAAACTGAATCTAATAATCTATGTTAGATTCAGTTAATCTAATAAAACTCTAATAAATAATAGCAATTACTAAAATAAATTAATGAAATAAAAAATAATAAAAATCTAATAAAACTATATTAGATTAATTGACAAATTATATTTTCAAATAAGCGCCATTAATTGGGCGATGATGAAAAATTTACATTTGTTTAAATCTTCCCAATTATTGTCAGCTAAATTATTTTTTCTTATGGTATCATTATAAATTAAGTGGATGAATGCTTTGACAAAACTGTTTATTTTTAGTGAGATTTATCGCGAATGAAAGTTTTTCATTTTAAATTTCAGGAGCAGATACATTGGTATACGTAATATTTATTTTCAACATCAGAAATCAATATGAGCTCTATTGAGCTTTAATTATTTGAAATCCCATTGCCAGCTATATGTATGTATGATATCGAGATTATTCGTCAATTCTTAAAACAACGATTAACTATTTAATTAACAAATATTGTAATTAACAACGTTTAACCAAATCTATTAAAAACTATGGAATAAATAATAATTATCATAATTATAATTATCATCATCATCATCATCATCATCATCATCATCATCATCATCGTTATTACTATTATTATTACTATTCTTATTATCATTACCATTATTACCATTCTTATCATTCTTATTATCGTCGCCGTTATTGTTGATTATTTATGTAATTACTTATTTATTTACACGTAGCTGCTCCCAATCATTCTTAATTATCATAAAAGTTTCACTATCCAAATAAGCAGCTAAAACAGTAATGGCACAACGACATTCGTGACTCCACTCTCGAATACCTGCTGCTACGGCGCCGTTCGTGAATCGAGGTCATCGTGGAGCTCGGCATGGACCTTAAACTACTAGTGGTGGAACTCGCCGGGCTCAGCGCTTGTCGCTCCTCATCGATGGAGGTCCTGTCGGGTGAACCGCACATCCCCCCGGTATCGCGCGATCCGCCGCTTTTCTCGTTATTATGTACGACGTGGAAGTGACGATTGAGGCGCGCATGGTCCGGGTGCAGGAGGATGCTCGTACGACGTGAATGCTGGGGTGTGATGGATGGGCTGGTGCTGATCGCGGCGGTTGTGCCGGTGTTTCCTGATGGAGAGGCCTTCGTTCGCGGAGCGATCGGAGCCAAACGCTATAGTTTACATTGTACTTGACGACGGATAGAAAGAGGATGACAGAGGCAGATTCAAGTGTGGAGAAACAGATAAAGAAAACATGTGATTAGAGGCAAGCGAAAGAAAGTGCTCGTAATTGTCTGTTTATTGCAAGTTTGGCTCTCGTCATTAACAATCTAATAGGACGCAATTAATTATCAACATATTTTGTCCAAATTTACTTGGATAGATGAATAGTAAATATATCAATAGTAACGTATCAATAGTAAAATCTATGGCATTTAACTGCATGGCTGAAAAAAAAAAATACTTGAAATTAATGTACACGCTATTGCGAGACTTCGATGATCGCTATGATTCGATATCCAGCATCATAATATTTAAGTTTATTTTTTATTTTTATAGTTTTTCTTCATAAATACAGAAATTCATAAGTTTGATTGTTTCTTGCTATTTCTTTATATCATTTAATTATAGCCCCATAATTATATTGATAAATACTGAATTTATATTTTAATGTACGTTGATGCTAGAGCGAGAGAAAATTTTCTAAAGAATGGAATTAAATTATTATATTCAATAAGTAATATGAAAAATCGGTATAAAAATTCGTAATATTTTTAAGATATGTAATCAAATGTATTGTAGGTTAATTTAAAGTTAATAACTTGTAAGTTAATATTAAGCCTCAAAATAAAATATATAATAGAAGAAGAGTATGTTAAATATAAAACAAATATTATTATATTATATTTAGAGAGATTAAAGAAATACTTAAAGCGAATGAAAATAGCTCTATATAAAGGAAATATACAAATATTTTTTTAGGAAAATACAGAGGGGAAATGAAAATAGAGATTCGGATTGAGAAAAGCAAAAGTTTAAATAACAAGAAGAATACAATGCCTAAAATAAATACCATAATATACCAGTTAAAATTGAATTATAAGTTAATAGTTCTGAGAAAATTAAAATAAAAGCTATTCAATATGAAAAAAGTGTAGAAGTAAGTGAGAGGATTGAATAAAATGCTTATGAATTTACAAAACAAAAAAAAAATAGACAACAGATGAGAAGGAAAAAACTTACATTAGTATATAAAAGAATAAAGAATTGGATAAAAGATCGAAAATATTGGCAATTGATAAAAGTGTATTTGATAAAAGGGAAAGAACAAAACGAAGATATTAAATACTAATTGTAAATAAATTGAAAAACTAATGTACTTAAAGGAAAAAAATGAAAACCAAAAGTAAAAAATTATGAGGAATGAATGACAAAAGAAATAAAATAATAATAAAACCGTGCTTGATAATATTAAAATTGTTCAAAATATTGAATAAAGGGAATAAACATTGAATTCAAGTGTAGAAGGAATAAAGAAGCAACGATTCAAGAATAATTAATGAAAATATGAAAATCGGTAAAAGAAGGTGTTCAAATATTCACAAAATAAAAAGAATAAACAAATGATGAAGGACGGAAATCAATAGGGATGACAAATAATTGAATAATAAAAAGAAATTTGATAATGAAATTAATTAATTAGAATACATAGATATAAAAACAAAATAAAATACTAAAAGCAATCTATATATAGTAAGACACCATTTTTAAAATGTGATATAATGAAAATTTATGATATAAACAAAATTTCATATAAATAAGAAAGTATCTTATATTTCTGAATAAAAGAATTAAATTTACCCTAACAGAAAAATTTATGTTATATAATAATAATAATTAATGCAAATTTATGTATTAAGTCTATTTATTAAATATTCGAATATCTATCATTTTTTAAATATATTGAAACTTTTTAAATATATTTTACGTTAAATGCCTAAATTACTAATATTAATGACTAGTATATAATAAATAAAATTTCAAATTATCGAAATGAATAGTTATTTTTAGATAAATATTTTAAACATGTAATCTTCGATAATCCAAATCAACTATAAACACAATAACAAGGTCCTAAAAATATTACTATTTAAGACTGCTATTAAACAAACTAAATTAAGCATATAATATTAGAATTACTGTACACATAATATAATTCACAATATAAAATATAAATTAGATATTTTATTTAAATTACTTAAATGCGTCAGGCAATATGCTAATCTAATTAAAAATGTTCGTAATTAGTTCAATTACAAAAATTTCAAATTTTCTTACTTATACGACATAAACAAATTTTTAATTTAGTATCCAATCAAAATATGTATTTTTTTCAATGGTATATTTCAAAAATTTCCGAACATTGTTCAATGACAAAAGTATATTTTTTGACACTCTTAACGAATGCAGACTTTTGAATTTTATTATTTTTTCTTTAATATTTAAAAAAGAATGTTAAGGTAAATATAATATTGTAAATAAAGTAAAAATAACTTGCATTTTATAATTAATTAATTTTAAAGTTTCATGCACATCTGTGTGTGTTTGCGCGCGCGCGCGTATATGTATGTAATGTTCAAAATGGGATGTAACGATATGTTGCTTTAATTTTGTACAAGAGTGAATAAAAATAATTATATTGAATTAAAAAATTTTCATAATGTATCGTTAATAAAAACTTTTTCGCTAAATAAAATTAGTGTAAATAAAATTTTTTATTATTGTATTTTATACGTAAAAATAAATAAAAATATAGAATATGATATATATTAATATGAAATATTATTTTTTATTTTTTAAAAGCTTATTTAAGTATTATTGTTTTTAAAAATTGTAACAGATTTTTATTATTACGTTTTATAATAATAAATAATAATAGCAAATCATTAATAGATATATAATAATAAATAACAAGGACAATTAAGATTAAGGAACAAATAATATTTACAAATAAACAAGTTTTATACGTCATGCAAAATTAATACTATTTCAATCCATTTTCAACTTCATAAACATTTATAAATGGGTATAAAATGTTACGTTCTCTTTGTCTCCATCATGCAATCTCTCTCTCTCTCTCTCTCTCTCTCTCTCTCTCTCACTCACTCTATCTATCTATCTATCTATCTATCTATCTATCTCTTTATTTCTCTGTCCTTCTATTTTTTTCTTTTCCCCTTGTACACGCACTTTGTCACTCTCTCTCTCTCTCTCTCTCTCTCTCTCTCATCCACCCCCACCCCACCCCCTTTTATCTTCTCCCATTCATCCCACTCTCTACAGATATTTGCCTTTGAAATATTTTGCTTTTATTTATTTATAGCAATTTTAAGATTGAACTTGCAATCACCTGGATGGATTCAATTCCACTATCAGTAACATTATCTTGAGTGTCTGGAAATACGAATTCCTGGTTGTTTGCATCTCTTCTTGGTGACTCGCTTGGCCATACTTGCAGAACGGGTAAACCACGACGGAACTCGATACAAACATCCGTCGCTGCTACCGTTTGCCTGGTTTGACTACTTGCACCAAAGCACAGTCGACTCAACTCTCTTAATGGCTTCTATAGTTAAAAGAGACGTAGCCCATATGTAACAATGTAATTAAACAAATAAAAAAATACTTCATTCCTTAATATTATAATTTTCTTTATGAAATAAATCATTATTTATTATACAAATGCCCAAGAGAAATTTTTCATCATCCTTTGCCTTTAATCTTACAAATTTATCCATGCATCATTCAATTTAATATAGTTTTTTATATTATATATAATATTGATATATAATATTGTCCTAGATTAATTAGGCGAAATCAATATTCTAAATACTTTATGATAACGAAGCTGTTGTACGTCACACTTTGAATTGAATAGGATAATTTTTTTCATATGTTAATGAAAAAATTTAAACGATATTTTAGAAAATCATGTTTTTGTATAATACTATAGAAAAAAGTACTCCAGGATGTTCAAACAGTTTCCCGAACTTAATTAATTAAATAACTTTCCTTTTACAAAGCATTTTTACAAAAAGATATTCCCACCCATTTGCGAATTTAAACATTGTAATTTCATATTATTGGACAAATGTTGATAAATATATAATTCTTGTTCTATACTAATAAATATGTTATAAAATAACAGGAGTATTTCTCATTGCAGAATCGCCACATTGTAACGGAAACTTTGGAAAGAAACGATTTATTAAATTTTATTAATGAAATTTATAACAAATTTCATATTGTACTTTTTCTTATTTTATATGCTTATTTTAAGTGTAATGATACAGAGTTACATTTTATATGATTGTAGAAATTCAATTAATATATTCTATAAATATCGAAATATCACAGATTTTTATACAAAAGCTATTCTCATTGGATGAACTCTTGATAATAAATTAGTTACTTCATAAACAACTTTACTTTAATATCTTTTTGTTGGCTCTAGAATATTAAAAAAAAAAAAAAAAAAAAAAAAAAAAAAAAAAAAAAAAAAAAAAAAAAAAAAGATCTTTAAAAGATTTCAGTTTCAATATATGGCCATAACTTTTATTCCTAAGGCCTCCACTATTCCGAGCTAAGATGTATCATCTCATAAAGGCCGTAAAAATTCTTCCCCATATACTCTGCGTAAGCTTTAAAAACAATAATTAACAATACAATATTATTAAATATCGGTTTCATTGAATTTACTTGACTTTGGGATCCATTTTTTGGGAGCCAATGTAATATGTAAAAGTTACACTGATCAGTAGAGCATAAAAATTGATTCACAAATGCTACTATATAAGTACTACACAATCGTTGACAAAATTGAATAAATCTTTATACCCTATTACTAAAAATATTATTATTTATCATTTATTATAAATTACTATTATCGACACTGAACTCTCACCAATGGAAATAATTTTTTAAGTTAAAAATAATTGGCATTTTTTACTAAGTATAAAGAGTAATCTGGCACTTGTAATGTAACATTATATTACATCTGTAATAAAAATTATTTGAATATTTTGATAATATTAATTTCATACAAATATAATGTAAAATAATGAAATGACAACTGAGTTTTCTCTTCTACGTACGTACGATCGTCTATTTTAAATTACTTCTTTATTAATTATAAAATATAAATAGTAAAAAAAAAATTTTTTTCTGTACACTAAATGCGTATACTCAGGGGGCTCAAAATAATATTAACTTCCAAAGAAAATCAACCAAGCTTACGTACGGATTTACCTTACAAGTACAAAAAATATAATAAACAATTAACATTTTATATCATGTATATACTACACTTGATTTATAAATGTTATCGATAATTTTTACTATTACCATTAACTAATTATAGTTTGAAAAATTGTCCAATTAAATAAAATTTTTGAAATTATTCGAATACCATTTTATTACGTTTATTACACTCGTATTATTATTATTATTATTATTATTATTATTATTATTATTATTATTATTGTTATTATTACTATTCGTAGCTAATAATAAGGCTATAGGAGATATCTAATTAAATGTTTTGGTATTGCTTTCTGTTTTTTTTTTACTCGACCAAAGTACACAATCTAACTATATGTAATAATACTGTATAAAGTAAGTAAAAAAGTCTTTAAATCTTTAAAATTTCTTTGCTTTAATAGTTATACTAATAAGTAATTTATATTATAAAAACCAAAAATATCTATATGAATAATAAATTTTTGTTTGTATCGATTACGGAAGATACGGAATACAAATATAAATACGAAAAAATTAACTATGGCATTATAATTAGGCTTTATATGTAACAATATACGTCAGAAACACAGGACGCGCGCGCACACACATGCACAAACGCGCGCACGCACACACGTGACCTCGTAAGCTTTTTCATTTCTATTTGTTACGTGGGCGACGAAGCGACTTTGAACTTTCTTTAATATTGATCTTTCACTACTCGACGAATGAAGTATATGGCTGTGTATGAGCGACCTACAGAACATAAACCGTGATAAAACTTGCCACATTCGAGTGAAAGCGTGACTTGAAAGCTGATTTTAAATGCGCCCTGCTGAGCTCTCTGGCTTAATACTATAAATTTTTTTTTTTTTTTTTTTTTTTTTTTTTTTAAGTCGAAAAAGATGGATTGCATGGCTGAAATATCTGTTTCTAATATATGACTTTATGTTTTAATGTTTGCATAATGCCAATAAGCTTTAGAATTTCTATAATACTCACTAATGGATAATGGATACCTTTAAGATTTTATTTATTTTTTCCGTATATATAAATTGAATGGAAAATCAAATACTCTGAGTATTTAGAATAAACTCTAAATATTACATCCATTATACTTTAATTGGAAATTTTTAGTTTTATGCTAAACACTGTTTTATAAATATTTGCAGAAAGTATTTGTAAATTTAAATCATTTGATTAAAAATAATAATAATTCGTACATGATCATGGAAGATATTATTCAGTATCTTATATTTCATTAGCTGAAAAAATAATTCGTCTCTTTTTTTTTATAAATGCTACTTGGTTTTGAAGATAATTAGTCTGCAGAAATTTTATAATAGAATATTTCTATTACAATTTATTGAAAATTTTACAAATTATTTTAACAAATCTTATCAATGTTTATATTTATTTGTTTTTTCTACATTTATTCTATTCACAATGTAATAGCTTTGAGTTTGCAGTGCCAATAAAAGTTGGATGACATTGTAAATATAAATAGGTTTATTTCAATTTTCATAGTGTTCTTCTTTACTTTTAAAACTATGTTGAATTATATAAACTTAATAAATAGAAAGTGCAAGATATCGTAAATTAAACAATAAAAAGAATAATGTATATATATTTTCAAATTACTTGATAGAAAATTACCTAAATTTTAATAAATCAGCAAAGTCTATTATTCGTCATAAATTTGAAATTACGACAATAATTGTATGCGTAAATTTTCTTTAAATAATTAATTTAAGTGAATATGTGTTTATTTTTATAAAATAATTTAATTAATTTAGTTAGCGTAATAATTTAAATCAATCTAAATTGATACTAATTACTAATAGAATTCATCATATGTCCCAAGTATCTCTAAGTATTTACTTTATGTAGAGACTATCGTTAACATTCCTTATATATTTCATGAAATTACCAACTCACAAATTATCACAGTGAATTATTTATTAATGTTTAACATGATGTGAGATAAATTGATAAATCTTACGGTTCATTTTCCTCTTCTTCGGACGAAAATTAATTAATCATCCGAATAGAAACAAATTAATTTTTCTCACAAATACAGTACATTTTCAATTCAAGTAACAATATGTATTCAAGGCTAATTATTATCAATCACAATTATTGATCATTAAATAACGAAACATTGCATTTCAATTTTTATGCTGTTATTAAAAAAAAAAAAAAAAATTACAAATAAATAACTATTTGGAACACTACTAAAATAATTTTGTATACAATTACTTAAGTTTCTATAAAATATATACAAAATCTTATATTATTTTTAAAAATATAGAGTTTATATAAATATAATATATAAATTCAGAATAAATATATAAAATATATATATATATATATATATATATATATATATATATATATATTTAAATTTTATAAACCCAAAGATATCATTAATTAATATCAATAAATGTTAAAAAGTGGTTTTTAATTTGCCGTACATTATTATATTTTTATTGAACTTGAAATTATAAAGAAAATGTAAATCTTTTTCTTTGCCAATATTTTAAGTCTTTATTTTAGTTCTTCATTCATAGAGAATAATAATGTATTCTGTAAAACTAGCAAGAGCCCAACTATTTTCAAATCAAATCTGGCAAAAACAGCATAAAATACGGATATGCAATTATCTGAGGTCGAAGACCAATATACATGATAATATAAGTAAAAATAAAATATACAGAATGTGAAGTTTCTTTTTCAAGAATGACGGAGAAGATTGAAATAACCTATCAAATTTTAATGAATCTGATTTATTAATACTTTATTAATAATTACTTGGGCATTATTGTACATCATCTGAAATTCCACATTCGAGTGATAATCAGATAATATTCACAAGTGATCGTCTGATAACGTGATCCAAAGAATTAGAAAAATGCTAATAAATGTATTCTTCTCATCATAAATATTGTAAAATATAAATAAAACATAAATATTAAATGTTACATATTTTTAAATGGTTTCGTAAATAACCTAAGCATTGATTCAGCAACGTGTAATAAATAATTTTTTTTTTTTTTTTTTTTTTTTTTTTTTTTATTTTAATTTTGAACTAAAAATAATCTTTATATTATCTTATATTATATTATATTATCTTTATATTATCTTTATAAAAACCACTATAAAATGCATTGTTTTAATTTATTAGCAATGTTCGAAAATATAGAGAAATAGCCTCTAAACAAAATCCTTCCTACAAATATGCACAAAATGTTTAATGCTTGGTCTAATAAAAATGTTAATAAATTTATTTTTAGAAATTCATATAAGCGAAGACTGCATACAAATTACTAA